GTGTTGTGTATATATATATATATATATATATATATATATGAACACAAATAACAATAATAAGATAAAATAGAAAAACTTTTAATGAAAAAACGTAAAGGTCTTCATCAGAACACATCCCTTACGATAAATTAAATATTTCTGAATAAAGAGAATAATTATCCTAAGATAAAAATTACTCTTTATAATGTGCCTATATCGCTAAAAAATAAATAAAATAAGCTTTTATATAAATATATATATATATTAGGAGATAACCCCTCTTAAATATACATTAAAACTATGCCACTGGAATGGTCTGGGTCCCGCGATTTATTATGTCAAATGCTCACTGCTGACAAATGAGTAAAACGTTCTCGTTCATCAGTGGGGGAGTGAGCGGCTGAATATCATAAAGATTTCTAACTTACCAAGGTCAAGGGTGAACACACTTTGTCAAAGTGCACCTGGCAGCAAACTTATAAAACTCTGGTTTGATCTCAGCAGGCAGCAAAGAACATTGCTCTCACACTCCTCCACAAGTTCAATCTCAATATAAAGTTCATCACCATCAGTTTAACGAGCTTACAGGAGGAGTAGGCAGCACAGAATACAAATTAAAATTATATAGAACAGCAGGGTTCAAAATGCCTGTGTCTAGGGTGCGCAACAAAATCTCTCAACAAAAAAATAAGCACCTTTAAAGTACTTCTTAAGCACTCAAAAAATATTTTCAAGCACTATATACATTAACAAAATGCAAAATAATTTTCAAAGACTTTACATGATCATGATAAAATAACTAGTTTTTGACAAAGAACTCTTTTCTTGATTACATTAGCCACTATAAAAAGATAGAGAGATTTTTCGGTTCAACTTCAGAGGGTGGAAAGTGTAAGAACCTCACCGAATGCCAGCTCAGTAGTTACTCCCAAGTATTTCATTAAACATGTAACATGATTGGCGTTATTATAAGTTAAGGAACAACGGCACGCTGAAATGGATTGTAGTTGCACGAATTGTGAAAACGTTGAATAGAACAATGTGAAAACCACACTTTTCAATAATACATAGCGAAAATCGACATTGTAAAGAAAAAAAATCTCATTTTCACAAGGGAAAATTAAGCACTATTTAAAAACACTCAATGAAAAAATCATCGTGCAGGGTTTTTAAAAAAAAGAAAATTGAAAATAAGCACCTTAAAACACTTTTTAAAAATGCTGAACACCATGTGCGTCAAACGGTAGAAGGCATTGATGGTTAAGAGGTCGTCATTTTAATCCTTAACAAACCCCCTAAAGGAGTTTTAAGTCAACAAGTTAAGAGTAACAATCGAATTCTACAATATACTTATATAGAGTATAAAAGTTATAAATAAAATAAGAAATTGACAAATATTAACACTTATAGTAGGTTTAAAAGATAATAAAATCAAGCAATTTCTGTTACTAAACAGATGTTTTTATTGTTTATAAAAGTTATATTAAGGAATTTCTCTTCATAAAAAATAGACAAAATATGAATAACATAAGCAGAAACGAACACATTTAACATAAAAAAACACTTAAGAAATGCATAAAAATCCAAATTTAACGATTTAGACAACAAAAGCTTAAGAAATAAGAATTATTTTAAAAATAAATATAATACTCTTATTAAGCATTTGATACTCTTTATTATAAAAAAGAATGTTATGTCTAACTTCCCAATAAAATAACATACATATTTAGTCTTTGATATAATACTTGAGATAAATTCATGTAATTTTTTTTTCTCCAGCAATGGTATCAATAACTTTCAAAAAAGCAAAGGATTTATCTTTTTAAAAAAAAGAACAAAAGAAGAAATACAAGACAATTATAATTAGATTAGCACTGTTTGAAATAAAGTTCTAGATAAAAAAGAATATTGCCAGATAAAGATTGGGGATGTCTAAGTAAAGCTCATTGACATTAGGCTGCATTTTAATACAACTTATTGAGTCACACAAATTTTATTTCTTTTTCAAATTCAGATTATTTTTCATAAACTTGGTAATAATCCATTTTGTCACAATTAACTTCCTAACAAAATGTTCTTTATTTTTGTGAGAAATCTAGACGTTTACTAGAAAAAAAAAATGGTGTTTGGGAAACAATTACGGGGAGTGTGAGCGAAGCTAGCACTGGTCAGAACCTCCTAAAATACTAAATTTAACAAATTATTAATAAAATATAATTAGTAATAATAATTCAGAGACTGTAAATAGATATTTAAAAAAAATGCAAATCAATCAAAACTAAGAAAGAAAAAAAAAATTAAAATTCACTGAGTAAAATGTTCACAATTTCGAAGATCTTTTGGCGAAACAAAATTTCTCATTCTTTATTATACAACAAAACAAACATTGCACCTATTGAGAAAATGTGGATAGACTTGTGTAGAACATGTGTTTGGAAAGTCAACAATAAATTCAACTAGAATTGCCTAAACATGGGCACCTGATGAGAAAAGAAAGAGAGGCTGACAAAATAATTCATCAATCTTTGCGTTGAGCACCTAGTCAAAATTCTATTGAAATTCCCTTGCTAAGCACTTCTTTACCATTACCATTAAATAATTTTAGGAAAACGGGTTTTTTGTAGTAGGCCAGTCACCAGAATAACCTTTAGTAAAAGCCATAACTAGAAAGATTACATAAATGCTTGATAATATTGTGAAATTATAATTTCAAACTTATATAAAAACTAGAAAATAAATCCTGTTAAATACAAAAAATATGTTTCAAAATAATTGCAACAAGATGATATATGTTACACAGTTTCAACAGCTAAATCTAAAAAACTAGTAAATAATGAAAAATAAAATGGTTACTGTCTGAGTTATTAAATGATAATTTGTAGCTTAAGTCAAGCTTTACTCAGTAGTGTTTAAGTATTGAGACGACTAAGTGTTATTTTAATTTTGGTTTCTTAGTAAATATACATATGTCCAGATCACTACATCAATTATGAGCATTTTTTTCTCGGTTATTAATAAAATTTATTTAAAAAAAAAAAAAAAAAAAAATTTTTCTTTANAAAAAAAAAAAAAAAAAAAAAAAAAAAACATTTTTTTTTAAATTATAGAATTTGCATTAATGTAGAACTACAATCAACAAAGAAAAAATTTAATATTGGTATTTTTTTTTCAACAACAAACATATTTAATAGAACCTTGTATTAAAGAAACAAAAAAACTTACTAAATGGTAGATTTCAAATTTTTTATAAATGTTTGTTATTAATAACACAGTAAAGGAGAAAAAATGAACATTTAAATAAATTTGGCTTCAAAGTGTAAGATCATTTTATCATTTAATGTTAATGTTTGAAGGCTTACAAAATAATCAATAATAGAAATAAAGAACCCCATACAGAAAAATCACTAAAATAGCAGTTTAATGCTATTTTAATAACTGTAAGGTTAAATTTGGTCCACCTGAAGTCATAAACTTTAACAGGCCGCTCAAATATTACATAAGAATATTTTTGGTGATTTTGGATTCCCTTTTCTTAGCAAAAATAAGCAAATCACAGTTAGAAAACTACAACATCTCCTAACAATTTTTTGCTTTAATTTTCACTGTAATATTATCAAATTTTGTGATTAACTTCAAATAAGACAAATAACTTCGAATAAAACAAATTTTAAATTTCAATTCATTTTATGAAATTTTGAATGGAACACGCTTTAGGAATTTTTAGTTTTCTTTTTGTGTTTAAAATTGCTGACATCTGAAACTTAAAAATATTATTTTTAATTTTTCTTTTTCTGAATTCAATTTCTGTTTCAATTTATAATTGCTTCCATGCATAACTTTTTTTTTACAGTTTCAATTTGCTTTTTAAAAATATTTTGATAATGAGGCGATTTTAACGTCTAATGTAAGAATTGCCTACTGTAAGATGCTTACATAATGTTTAAACAGCTTATTACTGCTAGTAATAAAAATGGTATAAAAAATTAAAAACAAAGAAAATTCAGTTTTCAGTCAGGAAGATGGGTTAATCAAATTGCATTCTGTTATAAAAGACATAAAATCAAATCCAACCATAGTTTATCTTTCACATATATGACACACCTAATAAATTTTACACGCATAAAAAATATTAACTTTTAATTCGTTATAGCATAAAAATAATTATAGCAAGTTACTAAATATTTCAACAATGATAAGGTTTGCACAAATTATGAAGCAATTAAAAAAAAGTTATTTAACCAGTTCAAATATTATAACAATTTTGACATAAAACATTTTCAGGTTATTCTACAGTAAGGAAGAATGCTGTTCTCAATAATATGGCTAAGTACCTTAATTTTTGAGAGCCTGTGTAGCTAACATGACTAGTAAATGATTACTTCAGGGTGTTTTTTCATTATATGGTATGACACTCCTCAAACTCAGAGACAAAACAATTTTAACCGAATCAATGGATTATTGAGATTTCTTCAGGGCGCGTAGCCAGATTTTTCAATTAAAAATAAGCACCTTTTAAGCAGTAAAATATTTTTAATCACATTCCAAAAAAAAAAATCATAATTAGGATCCGTGCAGTAATAAAAATTATCTCTTTCTATCGTTTCAAGTTCTTAATTTTCGAACATAAAACCAATAAAATTCAAAAACATTTGCATAAACTTCACATAATCATGATAAAATAACTAGTTTCTGATAAATATTGCAGAGAAAACTGTGAAAAATTTAGAACGACAATAAACACGGCAAAGAAAACTCTATTTTTAAAAGATAGAAAATTAATCACTTTTAACAAACTCCGAATAAATCAGGCACCTTTAAGGGTTTTCAAAAAATGCAAATCAAAAATAAGCACCTTTAAGCACTTTTTAAAAACGCTATGCACCCTGTTTTTTGCAATTGTTTGCTGTTACTCATACATATAAAATAACTTGCAAATGAATAAACAAACATGTACCACTTTCCTAAGAAAAAAATATCAGACAAAGTGTCAAAAAAATGCAAAGAAAGATAAGTGATTTTTCATCTAATATGTCCTTCCTACTAATATATTGTAGACATTATAAATACTTTGTATTGTTGTAAAAGTGTACATGCTATGACAAAACCCAATACCATTAGACAACAGTTGAGACTGTTTTGTCAGTGTCATTTCGTATAATGAAAATCGCCCTTAGAAGATTATCAAATGAAATTTCTAAGATTTTTTTTTCTTAAATCAAATTAAAAAAAAGAGGTTTATCATGTTTCCAGATGTAGAAAAAAATTAAAATAAGTAATTAACTAGCATAATGGCTAGTGTCAAATCATGCTTGAAAATTTTACTGTTTGACTTTTAATGAAAACCAGTTTTAAAAACAACGAAAACCTTGCAAAACTTTATTTTTCATTACAGACTACCTAGTTTAAAGACAGCAAAAAGAAATATATGTTGCTTTTTTAAACATATATATTACCGTAATTTCAAGGAGATACGCTGTGGCGTTAAGATTTAAAACATTACATTTCAGTATGTGCGGCGTATCTAATAGGGCAGCCTGTCGGGTGTTTTTTTTTCCTACTAGAGTTTGAAAATTCTATTTTGTTGAATTGATTTTCCGAAATATTAATCTATTCTTCTCAATCTATTTTTATAATTTATGATCAATTATAATTTAAAGAATTAACAATGCAGGTAAAAACAAATTGCAAGAATGTAACAATAGCGCAACAGATGCTCCCCCTTACAGCTAAAGAAGTCATTGACTAATTAATTCTCTTCCCGCAATCACCCCGCGAATAGTCTCTTAGGAGGATCGATGGAAGCACAATCCCCCCCCCTTCTTTCTTCTGCTGCAGGTGTAAAGAAAAAAGTGAAAGAAAAATATGGAAGCTATTCTTTAAATGATCATCTTGATGGTCAAGTTTACTCCCACTTTCAGCTGAAGGTCAACATCATTATTTTTACTCGTATTTTTATCATACCTTTCCGAGACTCGGAAATACAACATACGAAATTTAGAGATCTATGAGTAAAATGATGCAATATGATGAGCATGTGGACAAAAGTGGAATGCTTTAACTGCTGTATTTATTCTATATTTAATGTTTATTTTAACAATTTCTAGCTATTTAATCATTTAATTTATTTATAACTGAGATATTATAAATAAATAATGCTTTCATCATAATCATTTTAGGCTTTAATTTTGCGCAAAACAATACACATAACGATTTTAATACATATTTTTTAAAAATTATTTTAAAGGTTTTTAGCTAATTATCATTTGAAAGGTTAAAATTTTAGAAATTTAAAATCAGTAAAAATAATTATGATTGTTTTGAGTAGTACAATTTTGCGCAAAAAAAGATTAATTTTATTTAATTACTATTAATATTTTTCTGAATTATTGTAAGGATTTTTATCTATTTAATAATATTTCGGTATTTCAAATCAAATTACGATAAAGTGATGACATGCGATTGCTCTACATGGTACAATTTTAAGCCTAATAAGATTCTTTTCATAAATTTATTGTATTTTGATAACTGATCTTTAGTATGTTCAGGTTTTCAATCACTTGATTTACATAAAATTTGAGTCTTTTAAATGGGTATTTATTAATGTAACACGTTTGCGATTGTGTGGCATTTAAATTGTGCACAATTGTACATGTTACAATTTGAAAAGTTATGCTGATAATTATCGAAATACATAATTTCTGATTTCAAGTAGGATGGCATATATAAATTTATCATATATTTAATAATTATAACTTGCTATTTGAAACAGATGCCTTAACTCTGCAATCTATCATAAATAAAATTTTTGTGCGGTGTTTCTGATTAAAAACTTTTTCTTTTTAGTCATATTTTACAGGTGAAGCGCATATTCCAGGTCAGCGTATCTTTGCAAAATTACGGTAATTTTCCATGCACATTATTAGCACAATTTCAAAAACAATAAAGTAAACATAGCATTATAAGCTTGATTAATTACTTGTTTATTCTAAAATATGGAATAAGGGAATGGAATATTCTTAAACATAAATACAAATTTTTTTGGGTGCTTAATAGAGTCAATAAAATTATTAGATATGTATAATACATTTAAAAAATTTTTAACATCTTTCAATCAAAAGATTTGTAGAAATTCACGTTGACTAATAAATGCAAATATATTCTTAAAAGATACAGCTTTTTACAATCATTATACACATCTTTAATGCCATAGCCCTTGCAATATAATTTATCTTATAGGAAATATAATTTATCTTATAGCAATATAAATTATCTTGAGATAAATTTCTAAATCACTAAAAAAATATAACCAATTACATGCACGAAATAAAAATTCAAAATATTTAACATACATTTAAAGTTCACTAAAAAACATTAAAGAAATGCATTTTAAATAGACAGTTTTAAAAAAATATTTAAAAAAGATAATACAATTTATGGAAATTAGGGGCATTTATCGATAAATAAATAAATTTCTGAAAGGTAAGAAAGAGCTTAGAACAGGAAAATTGCCATCTTCCAATTTTAAATAATTCACTACTACATTTGTTTATAAATATCACTTGTAGTTTATTTGTCACCGTGGAGCAAATAAATTATCTACTTCTCCTGAATCTGTCAATTCCTTCTCATTTAGTAAATAGTTCACTTTGTATTTGAGACGAACTGTTTCCTACAAAAAATAAAAATATTTTGGAGAAAAATACTCTAGACATCATAGCAAAATAAATGTAAATACACTGACCAAATGTTTAAATAAGTATTTTGCGACTTCGCAACAATTTTCCACAGTAAAAATAGCTGTAAAAAGGTATGCATAGTAAACTGTAAAGACAACATTTTTGAGAGAATTGATATATGTTAAAAAAAATTATAATTAATCACAAATGCTTTTGTTTAACCAAAAAAAAAAAAAAAAAAAAAAAAAAAAAAAAAAAAAAAANATAAAAAAAAAAAAATATATATATATATAAAAAAAAGTGTCAATCATTATAAATACTTATTTGGGTTGATACAGAAAAAATGCACTACATAGTTGATTTTAGTAGCCTAAAGCATGAACATAGTTGCCAAAAACTATGAAAATAGTTGCTTAAATAAGAACAAAAATTTTTCAATAATATGACTAAAAATTTTTTAAATGACTCAATTGTCATATACCATGATCCATTTAGTCAAGTTGGTGGCAAATATGATATTTTTTTTACATAAACCGTTATGTTCTAGCACTAAATTTTTATATCAAAAAAATTAGTATATTTGCAGAAAATAAAATTTTTTTATTCCTAGAAATTATTCAAAAAAATATTTTTTCTTAAAAAAAACAGACTTTTTCTAAAATATTTTTTAAATCAATAATTGATTTAGCAAATATATATATATATATATATATTGTAAAAAGTGATAACTCAAATTCGAAATTCACGCATTGTATTAAAAATTGGGTTTTTTAAAATCATGCAGAATTTCATAGCAATAACCGTTGAGAAGGCGATCGAGAAACAAAAAAGACTTACAATGGAATCTGTGCAAATTGAGGGCATTAAAAGGTGCTGACTCATTCAAAATTTTGCAATTCAAAGTTTTAAACGTATTTTTTTTTTTAAGAAAAGAATTCATTGCGTTTAGAAGCTCAAGTGGCCCGCAGGTTGTCAACCCAATTTATGCTAAAAACAATAGCTAGGAGTACAGAAAAGTATCCCAATAGTCTCCTCTTCTTGAAAATAGTTGCTTTTTCAGGCAAAAAAAGTTGCCATAGTTGCCTCAGGCTGAAAAAAGTTGCAAATAGTCTCCTGTGACAACCCTGTTATTCATAAAATAAAAAGACGCTACAGAGGAAAGAAAAATAACTACCTTAAATTCCGGTGTGTGTGTATACATATACAATAATGGATAAAATAATGGAAACACTTCTATACTAATACATTTTTTCATATTTCTCAAGAAATACTAACAGAATCATCTTATAACTTCAGAAATGTTTCGATCAAGCGATTTCTCACACGTATCAGCGAAGTTTAAAGCTTTTAGGGGCTTGAGGGAAAGACAATAAATTACAAATTGTTTTTGTTAATTGTTTTTGTTTTTTTTGCTAAATTGTTTTTTTGAACACCCTAGCCAAAAAATGTTACAAAAAATTTCATAGCTCCAGCTTAAATATTTATGGATATATGGACATTTTCATAAAAAAAAAAAACAAATTTTTTTTATCTGACATTTTTTTGTTAAAGCTTTTTAAAAATATTCAATAAAATTAAACAAAATTTTTAGAGCATGTTAAAATAAATTAAAAAATTTTTGCTTTTAAGTATACAAGTAATTAAAGTAGTTCTTTTATACTGTGCATGTCCAGAAAAATGTAAAATTTTTTTTCTTAATTTTGTAGTGAATCATATTTGGCAACTAATGAATAAAGTCAGATTTGAAAATCTTAAAAAATTAAAAAGTTTCAAGAAATTTTCTAAGTAGTTTTTGTATGTTTTAAAAGACACTAAAAATGGTGGAGTTTTCTACAAATATTATTTTGTATCAAAAGACGAAATTATAATACCTTACAATAAACATTCACACACATAAATATGATTGTAAATGGAAAGACAACATGCAAAAGAAAAAGCTTTTTTGGAAGATGATCTCCAACAATGCTGGTGTCATTTTTAATAAATCTTGTTTAATAGTAGAAAATAAAATTTGAGGAAAACCCTTCATCAATTTGAGCTTTCTTTTAAAAAGTATGAAAACATTTAGAAAGTAGCTTGAAACTTCTTAAATTAGTTGCTAAATACGATTCACTACAAAATTAAGAAAAAACAAATTTAAATTTTTCCCATACAAGGGCAGTATAAAAGAAATACTTTAATTAGTCATATCTTGCAGAGTTTTAAATAAATTTTTCTTAAATTTTAAAGCAATAATTTTGTAATTAATTTTAAATTGCAACAAAACATTTGTTTTACTTTATTGAACATTTTTATAGTTATCATAGAAAAACATAAGACAATAAAATAAATTTTTTATAAAACTGCCCATAGATCTATAAATATTTAAGCTAGGCTTACGAAATTTTGTGTAATTATTGCATATAGTGACCAAAATAACTGTCAAAAGTTGTAAATCTATTGCTACGTTTTTTTGTCATAGGGTGTTCAAAAACACTATTTTCGGTTTGTATTTTATGGTCAGTTCCTTTTTTATTGTCAGCTTTAAATTTCATTGATAAGTATTAGAAATCACATAACATAAACACTTATAAATTTATAAAATGATTCTTTAAGTATTTTTTTGAGAAAGAATAAAAAATGTGTAAATACTATCGCCATTATTTTATTTTATAAAAGTCGATGAACAGCCGACCCAATTTTGGGTTTACGACTACTAATGTTCAACTCCATAGCCTTGTAATTTTGAACCCAATCCAGAAGACAAGGAAACTCCTGGATCAGTACCCCCACAGGCATGATTTGTTATGGAAACATACAGCACTTTGTGACTCAAAATATATTTAATGTGCATCAGTCACCATTTACTAGACGAGAAGTTTTTGCCTGACGGGGATCGAACTCACGACCTCTTGTACATGGGTAACGTGCCCTACCAACCAGGTTATCCCGGCCCCACTTACCATTATTTTGTCAAACCTCGGTATGTATGGTGATTGATGCACGCGAAAATCTGTCAAATCACAAAGTTCTCCATGATCCCATAACAAATCATACCTCTGGGGGTACTTGATCCAGGAGTTCCAAGAATTTCCTTGTCTTCTGTATTGGTTCAAAATTAAAAGGCTACGGAGTTGAACAATAGTAGTCGTAAACCCCAAATTGGGTCGACTGTTCAACGATGGTTATAAAATAAAATCCAAAACCCTTGTATATAAGTTTGTTTAAAAATGAATTGGTATAGAAACCAAAATGAAAAGGTAGATAACAATGAAGCAGTATTGCCAGGTTGGTTAGTAAAAAAACTCAAAATACAAATCCTGATGCCTAATTTTTAGATCACGTAAATATGAATCACGATGCATAATTTGTAAATCGTGCGAATACAAATCCAAAGCCTAATTTTTAAACCATGTGTAAATAAGAAAATTGATGTTTGATATGACAACCGCATAAACGAATCGAGTCATTGGACTTTTAAACTAGTGTGAATATGAATCGCTACATAGGATTTTAAAAACGTGTAAATAAAAATAGCAATATCGGATCTTTAAACCTTATAAATAAGATCAACCTTTAGAAGATAAAATCAACCTTTGATGTTAAGATGCAGCGACGTCTGAATTTTGAAAATATGAGCTATCTGGCGGGTGGGTAAAAATGCGGAAAATCTTATTTTTTGAATGTAAAAGTGATGAAAATAGCTAAAATTATTAAAAATGCAGAAGGGTTGGCAGCTACGTAGTTTGAAATTTCTGTTTATCTTGGTAAACCTGAAATAAATATAATTATTTTATTTCAATGGCTGAATTTTCAGAAAAAGCAGAATATTTATTTAAAAAACTGAAACTTTTAGAGAATAAGAGTTTTTGATAAAAAGGCTGAAATTCGAGAGAGAAAAGCGAAAAAGATGGAAATCCGCTAAAAAGCGGAAAAATCTCATCCCTGTTAAATGAAACATGTGTTGCTACTTAGCAAAGATGAGAAAGGGTAAGGCAAATCTATAGATTTTATTTATTTATTAAAAAAAAAAAAGAGCTAGAGACACAATACATTGAAAAAACTTACATTTTGAGGATTTGCAAGCAACATCACTTGGGTTATTGTAGCAGGTGGCAGAATTGGATTGTATGGAGGCAAGTCTGTGGCAGATGGAGGCTGCAATTTAATTTTCATAGACTGCAAAAAAAATATTTTCAATCATAAATAATAATAATAAAAAATAGTGAAAAGATATATTTACAGACTGACTCATCCGATTTTTAAAATTTTTTATTTTATTTAGTAGAAACTTATATTATATTAAATCACTTTAGTTGATGTTTGAGTACTCTTGCTCGTCAGAATCTGGTCTAAATTTCTATTGTTAAGTTCAATTACGTAATTATAAAGAGATACATTTTATTTCTAGCAGGAGGGAAATGATTTAAGCTTGTATTGTCACCTAGTATAAAGCTGCAGTTAAAATTTGCACATTCTAACTAGTTGCAGATTAAAGTAAAAGGACATTTAAAAGAACTTTCAACTTTGTAATAGATGAAATGAAAATATAAGAAAAACAATGCTTTCACTGCAATTTGATGAACAAGAAAAAATAATTGCTACTAAAAAATTTCAACAAAAATGCTGAGCTGTTTTATCATAAGATGACCAAAGACTGAAACAAGATATGTCTGAACAATTAGTGGATGGTCCTTAAATTTAAACTATTATATATTTGCGATTTTTTAAAAAAAATTATTAAGTATTCTCATTATTATATGAAATAAAAAGATGATATAAGCATTCCAAAATTACTAAGCTTTGAAGTGTCAATCAAAAATTAGTGAATAATTCCTGAATGTAATGACTATTTTCACAACCAAAATAAAATAATAATTGTTAAAAGAATTGACTGTAATCTCAGTTTTTTACTTCATAGTTTTAGATAATGAGAATTTTTAGCGAAAACTAAGAGTTTTTATTATAATAAGAATGATGTAAAATTAGATGCATTGAGCAAAAACAACTTTTGACACTTAGACAGGAGATGGCACCTCTTCTGTTAGAAAAGAAAAAAAATTGGCTCTGTAACAATAACTTACAAAGCCTGTTAAAGAAACCAAATAACAGACCAGGTTCAGCCTCTTAACCAACCTCAATAATCACAGATCATTTTAGGTACAAAATAATAGTTCATTAATAACAGACAATAAACTTACAATACAATAAATAAACTTACAGTACAATAAATAAACTTAGAATATTCTCTAAAATAGGAGTTTCAACATGATACTCACAGTAGTTTAATTTTCATACCAGGCATACTTTGGAGCTTAGAAAATGTATAGTTAAGATTCTTTTCTTTAAAAAATATTAAATTATGTAGAAGAAAGGTTTTATTTCTCAGTTAAAATTTGCACATTTTAGGTAATCGGAGCAGTAAAATGACAACAGCACCTGCTAAAAGTAATCAGGAAACATGTGTTCTTAGTGTTTAAATTTCAACAAATGAAAGTAAAAAGCTGTCTTAAAGTGAAAAAAAAATCAATGATATTGTATTTTTTTAAAAAATGTAATACATGNAGTAATTAAAATTTACAAATATGTCTTTCTTTCTTGAGTTTATGATTATAACAACTATTTACTGATAAAAAATGAATATTAATCATGAATATAAGCTTATAAAGTATCTCTCTGGCTCTCCCTTACAAACAAATAAAATAAACTGTGTTTTTAAGTTCCACCTTTGAAAATTTGACTTCCGGAAACTTCTGTGATAAATGATATTTTGAAACGTCTGGACCTTCGATCTCCGGACACTTCCAGATCACTGTTAGCGAAAATTCCGGAAATCCGGATTTTTTCCGGAGCACAATCACCCCTGAATAAACTTATGTATTTGGCTGTGTAAGTTTCTGAAATAACTTTTCTTAAGAGGAATTTTAAGTCTTCTTAAGATAATGTTTTTTTTAGAATGGGATAAACTATTCATGCAAATTTTGCAACATTGGTATTTCGAAATTTAAAGTTTTGAGAAATAAAGAGTTCCAAGTAAATCTAGAGTAAAACATGAATTTTTTTTCTTCAAAATACCAAAAAGCAAACAAATTAGTACTGGATTTGCTGTAAAAATTTCTGAAACAACTTTTCTTAAGATGATTTTTACGTCTTCTTAAGAGGATGTTTTTAACAGTGACAGAAACTTTTCATGGCAAATTTTGCTCCATATATATTGATATTTTGAAAGTTAAAAGTTTTGCGAAAAGAGAGCTTAAGTAAATCTAGAGTAAACCATGAATTTTTAAAATATCAAAAAGCAAAATAAATTAGAGCTAAATTAATTACTTTGTCACTTAATTTTGAAACAAAAACAAAAATGCAACATTTAAAACTTCAGGGTTTATTCTAGGTTTATCTAACCTCACTTTTCTCTAAACTTGGAGACTTGTTTGTGAAACTTTTACAGCCTAATCCAGAAGATCATTACATCAGAAGAAGGTTACTTCAAAACATGCGTCATGGTATGTATTTTATTTATTTTCATGAGCAAGTCTCGTGAAATATGATCACTATAAGCAAACGATAAATTTCCAGTGTAGACTATATTTTTTTATTACAATTTGACATTTTTTTACAGTTCAATATTTATGTAAAAATAAGTCTGAGAATTGCCCTTGAGCACTATACCCCCCCCCCTTCTTGCCAGTATTTTTAACAATCATCGGAGAAGAATCTGATTTTTTCTTATCAATTTCATATTTCATAATTTTGTAATATTGTATTAAAAAAATAAGAATTTAAAAAATCATGCAAAAATTTATACAAATAACTGTAGAATTGGGATCGAAAACCACAAGGACATTAAATAAATGCAAAAGTGAATTAATGTGAACTAAAATCGTAAAGTGATAAATCATATTAACGACTCGAGACTCAGGAGTATAGATAAAACAGTGAATTCACAGCAAAATTTAAACAAAGCCAATGAGTGCTTTAAAATTTTATAATTTAAATGCATGATACAAAATTTACCTACATAAATAATATTAGATTAAATGCAGCATGATTTCAAAAAACTATGTCTCAACAATAATTTTTACAATAGTATCTCTAAAAATAATTTCTGAAAAACCAAATGGATTTACAATAAAATCAGTGTGTTAAGAAATAAAACTAAAAAATGGGAATGTGCTATTATTTTTACAGGCTACCAGAAATTTATGTATCAAATTCTTGGAGCTCTGTATTTAAATCAGTCCTGGAAATTAATAGCCACGCTATGTACAATAAAATAATGATATAAATACACACTATCAGAATATAAGAAATTGAAGCTTACAGTTTAGTTTAAAAAAAGATTTAAAAAATTTTCCTTCAACCAAATATTTTTCCATTATAAACAAGGTTTTCGAAAAATTAAATAAAGTAATTACTATACATTGCATAATTAGAATGAAGGTTTTAAAGTACATCGGACTTCAGTTTAAATATAAAATGACAGTTATAATTTCCTTTCTTCCTTATTCCAATTCAGCTTTACAGCTCTTAATATACATATGGATAAGCATAAGAACAATCATTAATCCGTTAGATTAGGAACAAAATTTTTAAATTTAAGGGAAAAAATTATAAGTAATTTTGTATATCTAGGGAAGCAACTCTCCAGACAAACCCTAGTTCCCTAAATAAAATTGAATAAAATTACTATAAAATATAAGCTAATTTAAATTGTGTAAGTATTAAAACTGTTAAAATTTATAATTTTTCAAACCTCAAACTTCTTGATTTCTTAAAAAAATGTATTTAATAAATTCATCACTAAATTTATCAAAAATTCTAGAGATGGAATTAATTTTAAAACAAGATAAAAGAATTAAATCAAAAGAAAGGCTTGTTTAAATGTAACTGAAAATAACAAAATTATTTATTAAAATAGTATTAGTAACACAATAATTTCCTAAGTAGAAGAATCTGTTTATCTTAAGGTTGTGAGGTTAGTTTCTTCTAGAAATGTATTTATTTTTACAGTTTTTAAGTTAGATACTTTTTTGTGGCTGAGTTAATAAGGATATAACATTTTCAGATTTTGGGCTTTGATTAACTTCAATGCTTTTTTAAAGTACAATTTAATGCAAAAGATTGTTTTTTTTTTTTTTTTTTTTTTTTTTTTTTTTTTATAGACAGGTTTATTTGATAAAGACTAAAAAATATTTTCATTAAAAAAATATATGAATTATTAAACTAGTAAACAATATTGAAGAAAAAAAAAGTTGCAATATTCTTAGATAAAGCTTATGCCTTACATCTAGAGTTGATTCTATTGGTAGTTCAAGGTTATTCTATTTTTTATTTATCTTTTCGGGTTGTAAGAATGTTATAATTAGATATTTCAAATTTTGTCTCTTATCCCTTTAAAGACAAATTTTTAAAGTATGACTGTTATAAAATAATGTTTTTACTTTAATTAGTATTTAAAATAGTATTTCAAAATTTTTTACTTATCATTAAGATAATAAAGAGAATTGCTAATCATTAAGAGAAATTTTTTACATAACGCTTACATAATGTTGAATTTTTTTACTTAATGCTGCACCATATTAAAAAAACCTTTCAGATCTCTTTTTATCCATATAATATACTGAAAGTTTTCAAAATTATACAACTCAAACTTTTAGCTGGAAATAAAGCAGAGTACAACCTATCATGTGAATAGAATCAATAAAAAAAACTATTATTTAATAATAAATGAAAATAATTTTTTAAAAACCTGGCTGAATAGTTTCCAGGGGAACAAAGATATCTTTCAGAGAGAGAATATGAGATGGACTGCAAGATGGGGATACTTTGTCAGCTGTTAAAGGTGAACTCGATAAGAAGTTACTTTTGTCTAAAGTGGAAATTGGAATGTCATTTTTAGGCTGAGCTTTCTGCTGTTGCATTAGCTGGCTCAATGGAACTTTTTGGGGAGTACTGCTAAAAAACAAATTAAAAAAAAGATAATTAAAAAGCATAGATTTTTTAATACAAAATTTCCTTCGATTATTTAATACTAATTGTTAAGCAAGAATTAAAAGCTGCAATTAAAATTAGTGTATTTTAAACTTTATGCAGACAGATCTTAATTTTATTATACATAACAAATAAGCTCCCACTACTTAAATTTATTATTCTACTATTCAGAAATTTTTTCTTAGTATAATTCATAAACTAAATTTCTTCGTAGGATTTTGAGAGAAATGAGAGTTAGCACTATTGTTTTTTTTTTTCAGAAAACTTTCAAGAAATTGGGAAAATTACTGAAATATTACATTTTTATCTAGGTGTTATAGTTTTTAAAGTTTAAGAAGATTTGCATTTTATGTTAACCCCATAAAATTTTTTAAAAGAAAAACTTTGATTTATATGAATTTATAACATATCAAATTTCAGATCTCNTGCTGCACCATATTAAAAAAACCTTTCAGATCTCTTTTTATCCATATAATATACTGAAAGTTTTCAAAATTATACAACTCAAACTTTTAGCTGGAAATAAAGCAGAGTACAACCTATCATGTGAATAGAATCAATAAAAAAAACTATTATTTAATAATAAATGAAAATAATTTTTTAAAAACCTGGCTGAATAGTTTCCAGGGGAACAAAGATATCTTTCAGAGAGAGAATATGAGATGGACTGCAAGATGGGGATACTTTGTCAGCTGTTAAAGGTGAACTCGATAAGAAGTTACTTTTGTCTAAAGTGGAAATTGGAATGTCATTTTTAGGCTGAGCTTTCTGCTGTTGCATTAGCTGGCTCAATGGAACTTTTTGTGGAGTACTGCTAAAAAACAAATTAAAAAAAAGGTAACTAAAAAGCATATATTTTTTAAGATGAAATTTCCTTCGATTATTTAATACTAATTGTTAAGCAAGAATTAAAGGCTGCAATTAAAATTAGTGTATTTCAAACTTATTGCAGACAGATCTTAATTTTATTATATATAACAAATAAGATCCCACTACTTAAATTTATTATTCTACTATTCAGAAATTTTTTTAAAGTAAAATTCATAAATTAAATTTCTTCGTAGAATTTTGAGAAAAATGAGAGCTTTTAACACTAGGTTTATGGGATGCGTCATTTTGAGTTTTGTAAGGAAAATTATAAAACCCGTTTGAATTTTTATTTTATCTCTTGCAATGACTTTTAACCATTGATCGAGGTAAATATATATTGAAGTCTATTTTCTTCAGAAGCGTTGAAATATTGAAATTCTCTTTTGTGGTATACCTTCTTGTGTGTATCTTTTGTGGTATACCTATCTCTACGGATACGTGTCAATTTGACGCGATCGTGATTTAGACAAAATTTTGAGTAAACATGCAACTATTACATTAATAATAAATAGGAATGTACCAATAATACTTCGATCCGTTATCTCAAATGAAACAAGCGATAAACAACTATTGCCGACAAGTAATAATAGAAAGAACAAACATAGAATGTCAATTAATATCAGAGTGTCAGATTTTGAAGGTTTCAGTTGCTTAGTTCGAGTATTGAAAAATTAAATACTAGAATATTTCATAAATATATATCTCATATTTTCATTTTTTTTGTTATAGTATATAATTACATTGGTTTCTAAGTGCAGAGATGCCAACTGCTCCGGACACACCAAAATAATTTAAAAAATGGTAAATAATTACGAAGTAAATTTTGCAAATAAAAAGTGGTGAATCATATAAGCCTACAAATTATTTAGAAATAGTGGTGGATAAAAATTTACTAAATTGAATTTATTAAATTAAGAATCACAATTATATGTATTCTATCATGCGTCAAACTGACGCTTGTTCGTACAGATAGGTATATAAGAAATATCCGTAAACCTAGTGTTAATAGCACTATATGGTTTTTTTCAGAAAACTTTCAAGAAATTGGGAAAATTACTGAAATATTACATTTTATGTTAATCTCATAAAATTTTTAAAAAGAAAAACTTTGATATACATGAATTTATAACATATCAAATTTCAGAACTCTATTACTATTTTCTTACAAATTGATGCACAGACAAACTAACAAATTCATTATTTAATTACACGCATTCCATAAAATAAGCCTAGATAAACAATGTTAAAAAGTCGCTGCATCGCACATTTACAAAAAATGAATGAGAAATTAAATCAAACCAACCTAGGGAAATCATATTTCACAGAAGAAGGCATGCTCTTCTTGAGAAGAGATTTTGAGATCTCCTCTAATTCTTCTAAACCTTTAGATCCTGGTATTGAATCTTGTGAGGATGGCACAGCTGAAATAATAATTTAACTCAAATTATAAATTTAGAAAAAAAAAACATATCTACCATAAACAATAATGATTAGTGTATTTTTTGTGCTACATCTAAATAAAGCTAAAAACATGAATAAAGTAAAAATAATGACCCAAGAATAAACTCATTATAACAGCAGTTCCTAAACAGTGTTCCGCAGAACCCTAGGGTTCTATTGAAGGGTCGCACGAGTTCCAAGGATTAGGACTTTTTAAAACCAGTAATAAGATTTGAAACCCCTATTACATTCATAGGCAATCACAAAATATTTATCTATATGATATTTTGGTTATTCTTACGAAATGAAAGTAAAATGCCAGAGATAAAAACAGAAATAAAAAAAATAGAATAGATTGAATAAATTATGAAAAGAACATGAATACATAAAAAACTGCACCAGTTCAAAATAAAACAACTAAATTTAATAATTACAAAACATGCTTCCTTGGCAACTATTCTCCAACATTTGTAAAAAATATTTTTCGTTTAAAAAACTTAACTGAAAACATAACTTCAAAAACTTAAGGTGACAAAAAAATTAATTTAAAGATTACTATTAATAAAACATTAAAAAATTGCAATCTTCACATTAAAATTTTCAAAATAATTAATTATATTTCTTTAATTAATTTGTTAAGTTTTGCTGATGAGCATGAGGGTTCCACCAAAAGAAGGCAGACTCTTTAGGGTTCCATAACTGAAAAAAAAAGGAATTGCTGAGGTAGTATAGTATGGGTTCGATAAACAAGAACGTTGTTTATCAAAAAAGTCCATTCTTATGTCATTATTTGTGCTTTTTACACTTTTTAGTTTTACTTAACCATGCATTATTTTAAAAATAGTTTTTACAAAATTTAAAATTGTAATAACAAAGCTATTTTCATTAGTTAGCAATAAAAAATTATTAAAAGCATGTCTTTATACTGCTAAACTAGATTAATACATGAAGCATAAAATTGGATTCATATGCATTTTTGAAATAAAAATGATAAAAATGAAAGGAAAAAGACCCACCCATAAAAAAAGCTTAATATTTGATTAAATTTATAACAATCTTCTACTTGCATAAAAAGAACTAGGAAAAGGAAATTGTGAAGAACTTTTTCTCCCCATTTTTAAATTTCTTTATGTAAATATTATTTATAAATATATTTTACTATGTATATAGTGTATCAGGTAAGTTTAAACATTACTTTTGCTAAATTTCTTACAGTTTATATTAGGGATATCTACTTTTGCTTTAGCCTTAAGAAAGATTTTAAAATACTTTTTGAATAGTTGCATTTGAAATTTTATATCACCTTTTGCATGATGTCTTCAGACAAATAACTATTTCTTAAAAAAGACAAAGTGAAACAAGCATGACTGCCAATAAACAATAATTTCATAAAAAACCTAATTTGCTGTGACTCTTCACAACTGCATGAAAAAATAAGAAAATAAGAATATAAGAAGAATATACAGTCAAACCACACTACAGTGAACACGGTTCATCATGAGCTCCCAGATATAGTGAAAGAGATGTTCGCTCCTGTGCCTTGCTAAACATGTATAATGCTACTTTTTGTGGATATAATAAACCAAAAAAGAGAGGAAGTTGAATATTATGAGCTTTTTCTGTCTTTGACTGATTTATTTTTTTCATTTTTTTGTAATAATTTTGAAATTTCTACTTCAAAATAAATACAGATAACGATTTTTAAAATCATCTATAACATCGACGGTAGCAATAAGCATTTTATCTTGTTTGCTTCATTATTGAATTGGTTCAGCATTCAAAGAAGGCGCAATTTTTCAGTATCAATTCCAGTACAAATGCTTCAAGTCAAAGTCAATGAATTGGTGAAACTACTTTTATGTGCTCGAATGGCTGGTTAGACAGGTTTATAAAGCGGAATGACAAAAATTCAGAAAAAAATTATTGGGGTGTTGGGATGTGTTTCCATATCTGATGTTGAGGATTGGTCATTAGCTAAAGATGACTAATATTTCTTGTACCAAAGACCAAGAATAATAATAAATAAAAGTTAACAAATTTTTGTTAGTATGCATTACTTTTCCATCATTTTTTGTATTTTATTTTATTAGTCATTTATTTAAATAATGTGCAATAAAAGGAAGGAGTTTGGAACCATTAGTTAAAATTGTTTGCAGAACGGATATAGTGAACCGTAATTTCAGTCCCTTGAAGGTTCACTATAGCAGGGTTTGACTATACATTTGTTGCAAATCATGACGTTAAAAGTCAAAATTAAGAGACATTTTCCTAACTACAAGTGGTAACCAATTTGTATGGTACTTTGTCAAGCTATGTAATAGCACCTTACTTATAGGTGAGACTGATGAGGTGATGGAATTATTTGTATTTCTAATCACAGGCTGAAGAGAGACATTTGGTTCCCCTGCTTCGAGGCTACTGGAAAATATCGTATCTAAATCCGCCAACGATGATTTGTATGCTACAGATGAGCTTGTATTTGAGGAACCAGATAAAGAATTGTTGGAAGTTAGAACATCTACTTTATCATCGTCCATCAAACCTAAAACATAATTAAATATTAAAACATATGCCGGTTACATAATTTTTTGGGACATATTTCAACCTTTTATAACTCAATTCATTCAAAAGTAAAAATGGTTTGAACATTTAACGATTTTCATATCATACATATTTTCAAAATCTAAGCAAAAACATGCACAAAATAAAATTTTTTTAAAAAAAAGATGCCTTAGAAAATATAATAACAATCATTACTTATTTATTTCTGTGATGAAATTGTGATATAATCGATGTAACTAAGAATATTCAACTCTCCTGTATGTCTGTATGGAAATGCTAACTAGAAATAGCTTTCCCAATCTTTATGAAGTCTACACATAACTGTTTTGGCCAATGTCATAGCAAATAATGTCAAATCATGTTGTTTACAACTGTTATAGAAAAAAAAGTGCACCTTGCAAGAAATTTTTTTAATTCGATAAACTTAGATTCTTGGACACAGCGAGCATTCAAATAGTTCATAATAAAACTGACACAGGCAATAAAGATTTAAACAATGCTCTTGATTTTTAAAAAAAGCACTGTAACAGTTTAAGAAAAATGCAGAATGATTAAACTATTTTGTTCAAATAAAAAGTTAGAATCAGATAATCAACTATCCATACTAATAACTATTTCATCAGATAGAAATCAAATAATAATCTCACAGAAAACTATTTCAATATATGGAACACTGTTAAGTGGAAGGCACTGCACTTTCATACTCTGTATTATATGGCTTTTACTCATGTTAACGTTTCTGTTTTACACTTGTTAGTTAAATAATTTTATCTGCAATTGATCTGCCATTTTCATTTTCCTCAGAATAAATAAATTTGAAATGGAACAGAATGATGCCAACCTGTCATCATTAGAACAAAATTATTTTTGTTCTATTCTGTTGAACTATTTCTGTTCGATTGGGAAAAAATGACATCAGTAGAAAGTAAATGAACTTAAAATGAGTTTTCTATTGGTTCAAAAATATCATTTTATCACGCAAAAAAAAACAATGAAAACATGGATAAAAAAAAAACCTTTTATATCTCTTTTGCAAAACCAAAGCTGCAACTTCACTAAGAAAATGTTTATTTGTTAATTACATAAAATGATCAGTTTTATGTAGTTATGGAATTCAAAGAATTAAAATTGGAAAAAAAGGAACTATGATTGGGTGCAAAAAAAAAAAACCAAAAAAAAACAACAATTTTGGAATAGATTTTATTTAACTGAGATATTCGGATGAAAGTGGTTTATCAAAGTTCTACTGTGCTTTTAATGTATGAATAGCTCCAAAAACTCTTCAAAAAGAAAGGATTATACTAATTCATTTAAAATTTAAAAACAGGGTGCATAGTCAAATTTTTCAACAAAAAAAGCACATTTTAATCACTTATATCACAATTAGGCAGGGTTGGCAAGTTTTTGACAATTGACGGTTTTTATCATCAAGTCAGAAAAAAACCCTTTTGGCATTGTTTTTGACAATTGTAAAAAATCACGGAATTTTGAATCATGTAAAATGGAGTTGTCATACGCTAGAGACTGAAGGTACGCCGAAATAGATTGGGGTTGAATTAATTGTGAAAAGGTTGAATAGAACAATGTGAACAGTGTCTTTATGTACAATTCGTGGTGAAAAACAACACAGTGAAGGAAAATCACAGTGAAGGAAAGCACCTTTACGGGCTTCTAAAAAATGAAAATCAAATATAAGCACCTTTTAAAAACACTATGCACCCTGAAAAATACCAATGACAAATAATACTTACCTAAAGCTAAAAGTTGATCGTCTAATAACGAATTAGCAGGGGGTACGGCAGATGAACACTGAGACTGCGTACCAAGGTCCAACAAGGAAGCTTCTTCTATATCAAAGAAAATAAATAAAGCCCAACTTAAAAAAAAAATTTAACAAAAGCAAAAAGATATGATAAATAAAGTGATATTTTCAACTATAATACTTTACTAAGGTAACTTACACAGCAAAATGATAGCACATATATAGAGTTTCAAATAACTGATGATTTGATAAATCAATTAAAAACAAAAGAAAAACAGAAGGAGATAGAAGCGTAATGTTTAATGTGTTCTTATAGGAAAATCGGGGTATTTATTGTACCAAGTTTCAAAATCAGTAAAGAAATTAGACAACGTATAGCCCAGCTGACTACGAAAAACAGCGTTTCTAAATTAACGACCAATAACTATAACACAGTATAATCTGAGAATAATATTAACATACAACTAGCAAACATTCTCAGAATATATTGCACAAAAATATTGCTCTATAGTTTTTCCAATTCACAGGGTGTCCAATGAGAGGACATTTTCAAATTCCCCGACTTTTCCCTGTAAATCTAGATCTTCCCTCTTGCGCAGATGATATTTAATATTGATCATTTAATCTAAGAGTAAAGCAAAATATCATTAATGGGAAGATAAATATTATAAAATTATGTACTTTAAAATAAAGCAGGTTTCATTCTAGACCTTTAAAAAGCCAGGGAACTAGAAACTGAAAAGGGCATTATATCTCCCAAAAATAGAACATCCATCACAAAAAGGCGCATTGCATGTTATAAAAATCTGCATCATTTTTAAAACCCAAAATATACAAAGTTTTTAATTTTATCATTAAAAAAAATCCTATTTTCAAAGAAATAGTTGAACTTAAAAATAATACTGCAGTTAAATTAGCACATTCTTTAAACCTGCTTTAAATGAGTATTTTGAAAATGATGCTTTTGATAATAATAATGTTTTTAAAATATTGGAATTTTAAAATGGCTAAAACAATAAGTAACAGCAATAATTGCCTAAAAAGAGATCGGATTTTAATGTGGATTTGAGATGGAATCATCGTAAATTGAGCATGTAAGAAATGAACTAAAATATGAAATTCTCTGACTTCGTATTTAAAATATCGGAATTGAAAAAAATCACGCTGAAATAACCGAAAAAGAAACAAGTATGAGCTAACAAAACGCTCCATAAATGACATTGATTTAAGATAGTCGTTAAGAGCTGATCAAGTCAAAAAGTGACTAAAGTTTGAAATGCCCAATTTTCGTATTATTATACAAAGAACAGCATATTTAGAAAAAACAAGAGGAAAACAACTGCATAAGAGGTGGATTTACAGAGGAATCATCATGAATTGAACGATTTTTGAGAAATTCCCGGATATTACCAAAAGCAACATTCCTGATAATTCCCGATTTCCTGAATTTCGCAACGTAATCTGTTTACAATTTGTAACTAATTTTGAGAGTTGGTGATGGCATATTTTTTGTTTTTTTTTTCCTTCATTGACTTTTCAGAGCTTTGATCCACTTTTAGAGCGCCTAATACAATGGAATAAAATATTGACAGAAATTGGCATTTACTGTTGCAGAGCAATAACTAAATATAAATAAGTAAATTAATAAAATAAAAATACAGATTTAAATAATAATTTAAGCTAAACCACTCTATAAAGTGCTTTATTTATATACCTAATTAGTTATATTTTGTGTCGAATTACAAAATTTAGGAAGTAAAGTCAAACCAGAACAACTGAAGTAGTAATTTGGTAGAGAATGAAGCAATTAACATAAGAGGTAAAAAGCTTATTAATTAGATCAAACATTATAAGAGTTTTTTGTTACCCTAAGTGTAAAAGTCAACTATAAATTTAATGGCTGTTTTAAATTAGTAAAACAATTAAATTAACCAATTGGAATTTTTGTTGATTTTTACACTACTTGAAATATTGAAGTTTTTTTAAGTCATAAAAGCAAGGTTTTCATTCAATTTAGTGTCATAAATTATCAAAACAATCAGAACTTTAGTTATAAAGAAATATAAAACATTAAAAACTTACTTTTATCAGGCTTTCCATTTTCTGTGGATAGGCACATTAATTTTTTATAATTATTTATCACAACTGTTAGCTCATCATTAGCTTTCAATATATCACCTTTGAAAAAGATTAAAGATTTATGTAAAATAAGCTATTATTTAATAAGAATAATTAATGCTTAAAAACATTTTAAATTTTTCAGTTAATTAACTGGCACTTATAAAGAATTTCATTTAACTTAACAAAATACTAACATTTGTATTTTACAAGAAATGATTACACATCAAACTTAAAAGGTAATAAATATAAGAATTCATAAGCAACCTAATTATCGAATAAATTGGATNCTTCCATGCAGAGGTCAAGGTCCTCGTTGCAACGCTCAGCCAGGCCTGATCAATAATTCTGAGGCATATCACGATGTTAAAGTTGTCCTCCCAGTACTCTCGAAGGGTGAGGTTTCTGTTTTCTGTCACCTCAAAGCAGCGCCGGAACAGGTGCTTAGTGTACAGCTTTTTAAAATTAGAAATCACCTGCTGATCCATGGGCTGCAGGATAGGAGTGGTGGTAGATAGAGAACCTTTATAAACTTGAACTCTTCGAGGATGTCATGTTCGAGGTTCGGTGGGTGAGCAGGAGCATTGTCGAGGATGAGAAGGACTTGCCTGGCCGTTCCTCGTATCTCAAATGTCACTCGTATCTCAAAACAAAACTTCGCTCGCTCGACAGCTCGTATCTCAAATAACTCGTATGTTAGGGCACTCGTATCTCGAGGTACCACTGTATTGCAAATATTTATTATCCCGTGAAAATTCGGGCGTAGAAGAATTTTTCAGTACGTTTTGTTTTATCACGTTTTCACTGGGCCAGAATAATAATAATTATCTGCTGTGATTGGAAGTTTACCAAGTTTTGCTGTAGGATTGTGGGACTGCACACATGTTTTGTGTGATTGTATATACCAGGGGTGGCCAACCTGCGGCTCACAAGCCACATTCGGCTCTTTGAAGGATTATTTGTGGCTCTCAATCAATGTACCCAAGCTCCCTTTTCATTTTTGTTTTATTATATTTAAAAAAATTATTATTGTTTCGTATGTCTTTTAAATTACTGAGAACAAATATGAAAGACTAAGTGCAACGTTGTTCAATTCAAGGTGAATTTTCCATTTCCAATATAATTATGATACAAAAAGCATCTGGAGAATTAGAATTAATAGAGATGCAAGAAGATCAAGCTCTACAATTGAAATATAAGTCGACATTGATTACTGAATTTTGGAAATTTATACCAGAATCGAAGTATCCTGAATTAAAAATGGCTGATTGTAGAATTATTTCAATATATGGAACAATGCACTTATGTGAATCACTTTATTTCACTTTAAAATTCGTGAAATCCAAAAACCGATCAGTATTAACTAACCAGCATCTCAAAGAATTACTGAGAAGTGCTGACACCTATTATTCACCAAATTGTAAAGAATTATCAAGAGAAGTAAAATAAATGTGTTTTTAATATTTAAATTCAATACACATATTTTGTACTTTTACTTATATGTTCTCAAAAAATATAATTTAAGCAAAAAAATTTTTTTAATCCCTTTTTTCATATTTTTTAAATACGTATTTAATTGCGGCTCGCGAAAAACTTCAAATTTTTGAAAAATGGCCCGACTATCAAGGAGCTTGGCCACCCCTGGTATATACGATGGTTACTGAATAAACATAGAAAAAAATAATAAAAAAAATGACGTATCACTTCACTGGCATTTGGAAAATATCACTATGTGTCGTCCCTTTCTTTAAAAACTATCATACAAAGACAAATATTTAACTTTTTTCATTTGATCGAGATAACTCGGGATAGTAAGCTGATGGTAGATTAAATGTTTTATACGCATAAAAAAACTAAATTTCAACTTCAAACTTCAGTATTATGTTGTTTTTTTTTAGTTCCTGATATTTATTAATGAAATAAAAAAAATAGTTGATTTTTTGCATTTTTTTTTCTAAAAAAAAATTGATAAGGGAAGCGGTTAACATTGAACTGTACAAGATTTTTAAACAACCTGATACATAAAAATAAATAGAATTAATTGGGATGGCCCACGCGATTCGAATGAGTGATGACAATACAATAAAGAAAATATTGCTTTTAGACCCACTGGAAAACCCCAGAAATTTTATTTCCACACTTACTTAATCAATTTCCCACACTTATCGAAGTCCCAAACGATTCCAGATATGAGACTCTCCACTAGTGATATGGCAACCTCATCTTAAAATATCTAGATTCAAGTGTACTATCAGCATTCAAAAATTGTAATTAGGGTAGTAGTTTGAAGAGACAAAATTTTGTTTCAGAACTTGGTTTCAAATAAAACATAGAGCAACTAATAAAAATTAACAGTTTACTGTAGAGCAAGTAAAATACTTTATGGTCATTTCAATGCTCCTGGTATATCAATTTATTAAAATTCCTACATAAAAATATACGTAACACAATTTTTTCATATTTGAAACAAAGAATGAAAACATGCTTAATAAAAATAATTAACTATTCAAGGTTCTGAAGGTTAGAGACATAACCTAAGATTATGCCTAGTTCTTAAATGCACAGAGGACTTACCGAGACCTTCATCCTTCTCGTCTAACTCTCCTGCCAGTCGAAAGAGCTTAGGTCGCAATCTTTCACAGCTCTCAAATAATTCCTGTTTATTAAAGAATGATTTTAATGTAGAAATTAAACAGATAATGGATTTTGTGAGAAATCTAAATAATATTATGTTTTTAGAAAAAAAGATGAAATGAGTTACAGATCCAATAATAGTACATATAATAATAAATTTCAATTAATTAAATTAGTAAGTGCACTGTTCTACTATATTATCATTAACAATTTTTATCAGGGGTCTGTCTAGGTTTTTTTAAGAGCTACCTATTTTGTGAAAATTTCAACATAATTTGTGAAAATTAAAAATTTTATTAAAAAATTAACACAAAAATATGGTTAAGGAAGAAAATATTTTCAAAAAATGTCACTACAAATAAAAATTATTTATGACAGATAAATTTCTATATATTTCCCCCCATATATTCAAAAACAATTTTGCTAATTGTAAAATTTTAGGCTAAAAATTGTATCTAAATTACAAAATGCATAAATCCATAAAAATCATTGTACATAGTAGACAATGAACTTGAATTTTATAAAAACATGCATTTAACAGTACTAGCACTAAAAGTTATTTTAATTATGAGAAAATTTTCAACTGGGTCATACAGAAAAAAGTTTCACAGAGAAAAAAAAAGGGGTCCTTGAAAAAAATAAAGGTCTCTTAGAATAAATGTACAATAGTTTTTAAGATAATGCTCAAATTTCGACTTCCTGTAAAGTTTATAGAGGGAGAGTTTTGTTTCATTTGAAAAAGTTTAGCAAAAAAAAAAAAAAGAAAAAAAAGAAGCTCGCATTGATATGGCGGAAGCAACGGGTTAGGCTTACCACATTGCACTATTTGACCGAACATGTGCTACCTTTTCATAAAAGGCAGCTAGCAGAAAAGCTCCTCTTTTCCATAGATTGCAACGAGAACAGTGTTGGCATGAGAGCTTGCTTTTTTATTTGTGAAATTACCGTTTTTCCTAAAGTTGAATTTGTAAAGGTACTGCAAAACGGTAGTAAATTTACCTTGGACAGAGCCCTGTTTATTGTTGTTAAGTTTTTCTGTAACATTTACGCCGTTTAGTTTTTACAAAGTTATTGGTTATTTAACACAAAGAATAAAAGGCACAATCCATTAGAAACATATAAAACTGTAACTTGTATGTTGAATAGAAAATGATACATACTTTCATTAAATCTTTTTCTTCATCAGACGTTTCACCTGGTCTGTAATGATCTAACATATCTGATAAAACTGAAGCATTGTTGTGTACAGTCTCCAATTCAGTTGATCTTTTCGCCATAACTTCCATTCGATGATCAGCCTGCCAATGAAATTAGATAATATAAGACACACAACCCAGTGATAACATTCCATTAACTGATTTAAAAAACTTTCTACCAAGTAAACATCAGAAATCAAGATATTAATGATATGCATTCAATAATAATACACAAATTTCGGGACTATATCATACATTTTAAGAAAACTACAGTAGCGTATTGAATATTAAAACATACAAAAATTGTTGCTCATTCAGAGCAGTTTACACAGACCATGGAACAGACATCAATATTGATTGCCATCAAAAGTGGCTACCTAAATTTTTATTACTTTTATGTTCTTCAGATAAAATGTGCACATTATTAATTTACTAAATTAAGATCTGTACTTTGCAGTTGTTTCTTCCTTATTGATTTGGTAAGACATTTATTTATTATTTTTTAATAAAACTTACTTTGAAGTTTAGTAAATGCAAATTATATATTGCAATTAAATTGAATTAATAAAATTTTTTGTGACTACTAATGATGACATACAGAATATCATTTTTAGCAGGTTTTGAAACTTCTTTCCCATGTATAACATGGCACAGCAATGGATTAAGTAAATGAGTAACTTAAAAACAGAATATCATTTCAGTACTTCAAGCATCATTTTATTAAAATCTTAACTAGTTTCTTTAAGCATCTAAAACAATTTAATTTTTTAATTTTATCTACGTAAGATTAAATTTACAAAAAAAAAATCTGGATAATTTTGAATTAGTATTAAAATTTTAACCAATGTGGTTAGTCAGAAAACCTTAATTTAATTTTAAATTATTCGAAATTTATGTTTTGTATTTTTAAAGTCTACTGTTTTTAAATTTAATACAATTATAACATAGAGTAAATTAATTAGTAAAAATGATGATTTAAACATGGGTCTCACAACACCAAAGAATCATAGTTATATTTTCTTTTTTTGTACTTCATATTTTAGCACTTCCATATTTTTGGCATATTTTTATTTATCTGAAGAAACAAACATCCCAGGGGAATATTTAGTATATCCCTCTACTAAGGTAGTATATAAAAATCCTGATAAAGTAAAATAGTAGTAAAATATAGCAATTCAGACCAACAAGAAAATCTAGCTAAAAATTTTTCCTTATATTTTACAACTATTGACTTTAATATTCTTTTATTAGAAACTTATTACATGAATGTTAAACCAGATTTTGAGTAAAATCTGTCACACATATTTTAGTTAAATCAAAGATACTGAATTCTAGAATATTAATTAATTTTAAATTGAAGCTATTTTTTCTGAAAACAACTAAAAATTATTATATTTATTTAAATTTATCTAGCTAATAAAAAAATATTCATCAGAAACTTTTTTCTAAAAAACATAAATAATATTTGCATATTTTTGCTGACAAGGAAAAAGAAAAGGATCCATAACTCCACATAAAATTTGCAAATAATATTTAAATGATATCTAAGGCATGTTATTAAATTTTAGGAATTATAATATTCATATTTGTGATGAGCAATATTTTCAGCTCAAACTACTAAAATATTATGGTATTTTTTAAATAATTTTTAAGTTATAAAAAAAAAAATAATATGAAAAAAATAATGATAAACCATAATTTTTTTAAATAAATTTAATTAATTCAAAACATCCTTTTTTTGAAACTGGAGTTCATTAAGTTTAGGAGCATAAGATAGTTTCAGATTACTCAGATATCTATAATGATGGTCAAATGTATAAACAATTGTTTTCAAAATATAGAGCTGATTCAAAACTTTAGGATCTACAAAATTACATATTACCTACCTCTTTCACCATGCTCTTAATAAGTCTATTAGCAGCTTGAAGATCTTCAGCATTTTTACTTCGTAGCAATCTTTGTAATTGCTGAAATAAATGTAAATAAATAAATAAAACATACAAATATTAATATCTTTTCAAAACAGAAAGTTAAATTACAGGTCACAAAAAAATTACACATTTAGAAATAAATTTCTTAGACATTTTAAATGGCATAAAAATAAAAAATGCAAATAAAAACAAAATTAACTAAGAATTTTAAACAAATATTTTTTTTCCAGATCATCTGTGATGTTTTTAAACATAAAGCTATAAGCATTTTGCAAAAGTAATTTTACAGCAGTAGCAAAATGTATGGTTTAGTATTTGGGTTTCAATAACCACAACATATAAATAACACATATCTTTCACAAAAACATGAAAGTTGGTAGTTAAAAAAGATAATAGGTTAATATTGGTAGATTTAAAAATAAATATTTCAATATGAAACATCATTTGTTTTTATATAATTATGCTAAAACATTAAATTCTTTAACAGATTATTCATGGACAGTGATATAATAATAAGCATATTTACAATGAAAAACAACATCGTCACAGCAAAGAATAAAAGGGCAGATTATTTGATAAATATCGAAAACAAATTCAATTGTTAGATATACAAACTTTGAGAATAATTAAATACAATCTGTGAACAGTTCAGACCAGCATGTTAATAAGTATTCTAATGGACAAAGCAAAATTTTGGCATTAATTTTTTTTTCTAAGAAAATTTCTGCAGGTGCTAAAGTCCAAATAAATTTTAAAATTTTTTTTTTCGATTTTTAAATTACATTAAATGCAGTATAAAGAATATGAAGATTTTTTGAAGGATAATGATAATGAAATTTAAGAAACAGGTTACTCACAACAGCATTTTACTCTTTAATGATTAAAAAATGTTTTTAAAGGATGTCTAGATATTTTAATATTGGTTCTAGAATTTTAATATAGAATCTATTTTGTTAAATAACGGATATAAAATATCAAGTGAATTTTATAATTCTAAAGGACCGATATTGGTTGTAAAGTGGCTGCAAAATGTCGTGTGAATCGGAAAATTAGGCAATTATAAAAATGCTTTGATTCTTAAAGTCTCAGATAATTTTCAATTTCTACGGCTCTTTTCTATTGTTTCATGAAATGTTAAGTTTTTTTCTACTACAGGGTGAGGAAAAAAAAAAAAAAACCAGGACAAGAAATTTTTAAAAAAATTTCATAAAAATAAATAAATAAAACAAAATATAACAAATAATAAGAGAAGATTTTTACTAATAAGTAAATTTAATTGGTTTCAATGTGGCTGCTTTTTGCAGAGGTGCAAATGCTTATTTAAATTTTCAGCAATGGGCCGCAAGACCTTTAAGATATCCCATTCCTGTTGAATCGAGTGCTTTAGAGAGTTTAAATATTTGTGAAGAGCAAATGCAAGTTTTCTCTCTGTGATTTTTCTTGCTGGAACAACTCTAAAATAGTAGATCTTTTGATTGACATTGCAAAAAAGTTTAAAAAAAAATCCATAAACTGGGAGATATATAATAAAATACTTAATATTCAAAGTGGTAAAAAAAAAAAACATGAATTAAAAAGAATTTCTATTCTATAATGCAATAACTTAGTTCGAGTTATTTTTTGGAGCATCCCGTATTTTTAATAAAACAAAAAGTGTGTACTCAGGTTTTTCATAGAAATTTTCCAGCGGATTTGAAGATATTTAATAAACATAATAACACAAAAAGTATGTTGCTGTAATGGGTTCAAGTAAGTTTTAAAACTATGGTTTCCAGTGGATCAGAAGATATTAAATAAATATGATAACACAAAAAACCTGTTGCTGTAACAGTTTTAATTAAGTTTTATAACAACCGACTTGAAGAAAATTACCTGAGCTTTCTCTTCGTCCTCAAAAATGGAATTTGCTGAACGAGGAGGTGGAGGAATGACAGATGGAGTGTAATTCTTTGGATTTCATGGAAAGGAAAAAAATTCACAAGTTAAATATCAAAAACTTCATTAATGAAACAATAAATTATGTAATGTTAAAACAAATATTAACTATCAAAATTCAGTGCAAGATAAACTCTTGGACTAAAAATGTATAGATGATAAATATAAAAAAATGATAAAAGGGATAAGGATTAAATAAATAAATAAAGGTTTTTATAAACGGTTTTATTTAAATCAATATACAATTTACACCAATCATCGTAAATAAAAAAAGTTTGATACCTTTCTGAATAACACCAATTATGAAATAATTAAATTTTTTATTCTAAAAAACTAGTAATTAACAAGCCATATAGCCAATGTCTTAGTTTTGTCTTAGAATTATTGGAGGAAATTGTTGTGCTATATATATATAAATTTCATATTACTTATTGAAGAGAACATACCAACATCCTTAAGGGAATATCTATTAGAATATACCGAAGAATCTATTTAGGTTTCTAAAAAACACAAGCTTAATGCGTTTCAAAGATTTTTTTTTTTTGTAAAACTGTGCCTGTAGACAAATTTAATTTTAAAAATGCATGTATTGCAAAGTTATATTGAACTTTTTTTTGATTCAATAGAGCTTGATGATCGAACCGTTTTCATTTTGAATACTAATTGGAAAAAAGTTATAACTAGGCAAAATGATGCAGGTTTACAAAAAGATCTCAATACAAACTTATAAAAAAAGGAAATGTTTGAGCAGTGTGACATGAGCATACTTAGAGTGGAACAGAAGACGTTTTTAGTAATTAATATCTAAATTAATAATAAAGTTTTCTAAAGGGAAAAATTGGGGGGGGGGAGAGGAGGTAAGGAACAAAAATTACTAAAACAATCAGGTAAAATAATTACTTCAAAGATATAGAACAGCATTTAGAAGCATTGTAATGTCACACTTCTTTCTAATATTATTTTGCATACATTTTTCTTAAAATTTATAAAAAAAATCAATAAAAACAAGGTGTTATATTATGCAAAAAAAAAAAAAAAAAAAAAATTCAATACACAAAGTATTTTGTTTAAAAATTTTTTTCACTAGATTGAACATTAATCTTTTATGTAAATTTTTTTCTTCTCACTTTCGAAATTAACCTCATCAAATTGCGAATTGCAACAAAAAGAATTTGTTCACATTATTACTTTAAAAAAGGGGTAAATAAAATGTCAAAGAGGTCATTATACTTACAAGGTAATTAGAATTTAATAAAATTATAAAATCGTTAAAATAAAATAAACTAAATTTATAGAAATATTTTTTTAAATTAATGTCAGAGATTTAGGAATCAAGCGAACGTGTTATGAAGAATAGATTACTTACATCTAACAAATATACAGGATCTTCAATGACAACACCTTGTTTCTTGAGCATCTGATACGCTTCTGATATCTTTGATTCATTCTTTAACTCTAAGCTCCAGAGGTACATTATTTCCACTATTTTTCTTTTCACTTTAGATGATGCACGATTACCTAAATACTAAAACACAATCCAACATTACTAAAATCTTTGAGAACTACTAAATTCCTTAACTTACTTACACAACAAAATCAGGGCTGCAAATTATTAAGCTTTTTGAAAAATATTTAAAAGAGTGGTAGATATTTAAAAACTAATGCTTTCAGGATTTTAAAAGCCTTATTATGAGAGAGCTAGAACAAAGTGGCATTTAATTGAAAATTTTAAATCATTTACAAATAGCGATGAGGAAAATAACTTTAAATGAAACTTACGAAACAAAGAATCATACATTAAAATTCCAACTTAGCAACAAGATGAAATTTTTCAAAAAATGTAGAAAGTAGGCACTCCCACATAATAATTAGTCAACATTTATAAACCTAAAACTATTGGTGAAAAAGAGGAATAGGCAAATTGTGCCTGCCATATAGAATATTTTAATTCAGCATTAATAAACTGTATTAAAACTAAGATAACTGGGTTTTTATAATTTAGGGTAAATATTCAAGGTATTTACTTGGATAGAAAAATGTATAAATATCTGGGTTGTTATAGGCCATTAAGGCAAGATGCGCACTTGTTATTGTTTCCAAGTGGTGCCATCTATAGCTAAGAATTCAACTAATGCCATGCCCATACGTCACACTCGTTTGTAGGGCGGACCCATTCATTCATCCACAGATCATAATTTCAACTTGAACCAGAGAACAGTCAATTTCCAATTCAGTACGCCCAGAGATATGGTTTATTATGATAGCGTGGAAGACTTAGTGACTCAACAAATTTAATGGCTGGCCGGATTCAAACTCCTGTTCAGCGCCCTGCCAACCAGGCTGTCCCGGTCCCATAAATATCTAGGTATTTATGGAAAACACAATGGAGATGACTTTTACTAATTTAAAAAATAGTTTTTTATTTTCTTACAAGAGGAACTGAACGATTTGTTCTTTGCCTTGGAATACCTTAGAAGTGCTGCTTATTAAATGTTGCTAGGTGGGCAATATTACCTACACCACAGGGGCACAGATACCAGAAGAGTGGGCTACATCCACACAACAGAAGACAACACACAGAGAGAAACACCCATGCCCTGAGTGGGATTCGTACCTGCAACCAATAGCTCTGCAGTCAGGCACACTAGCAGTTTGACCACTTATGACTAGGACTGGGCTATAAATCGATATATCGCGACATATCGATTTAACGCCTATATCGGCAAACCGATACAGCAACTTTCATTCCAAGCGATGCATCAGAAATCTGATTTAAGCCGTCGAGTGAAGAAGACGATATAACGATATAGCGATACACGCAAGGACTTTCTCTTACGTTCCGATGCCAACTCGCGCTGTGGAAGACGATATTGTTTTGTTTTGTTGAGACGGCCTTGACTGATGAGCGGTAGAATCAGAATCACTTTTGAGACCTTANGGAATAGGCAAATTGTGCCTGCCATATAGAATATTTTAATTCAGCATTAATAAACTGTACTAAAAGTAAGATAACTGGGTTTTTATAATTTAGGGTAAATATTCAAGGTATTTATTTGGATAGAAAAATTTATAAATATCTGGGTTGTTATAGGCCATTAAGGCAAGGTGTGCGCTTGTTATTGTTTCCCAGTGGTGCCATCTATAGCTAAGAATTCAACTAATGCCATGCCTATATGTCACACCTGTTTGTAGGGCGGACCCATTCATTCATCCACAGATCATAATTTCAACCAGTCACAGTGCACCAGTTGGCCGGCCGGATTTGTTCTTCGCCTTGGAATATCCCAGAAGTGCTGCTTATTTAACGTTGCTAGGTGAGCAATATTACCTACACCACAGGGGCACAGATACCAGAAGAGTGGGCTACATCCACACAGAGAGAAACACCCATGCCCTGAGTGGGATTGGTACCTACAACTAATAGCTCTGCACTCAGGCACACTAACAGTTTGACCACTTATGACCATCTTATTTAAAAATAAGATTTTTTTATATGTTGTGGATCATAACATTTAACATTTCAAATAACAGTTATTTAACAGTTATTTTATAATAATCGTTCAGCTGAAATCAGAGTTTGCATTCAAACTGAGAAGAAAAATATACTAAAATAGTGATAAAAATATAAAAAATACATTTTTAATTTTAAATATGGGTTGTTGAGCAAAATAAAGCAAACAAAATTTTTTTTAGATAAAAAGGTATTCTTTACCAACAGTTTGTTAGCTGCACCATATTTAAAAGCTAAAATTAACTTATTTTTCGTTGAAAATATTCAGGGGGAATTTTCCAGTATGTTGACATTATGAAGTTGCATAATTTATTTTATTGTCAAATTCATCAACAATGGCTTATTGAAATTTGAAAAAAAAAAAAAAAAAAAAAATGCTATATTTACAAAAAAAAAAATCATCACAAGATGTCTAGAAAGTTTTTAGCACTTACTTTCGGAGAAACAACTTTAATCATTTCATTCAGAAATCTGAATTTCCCGATTTCAGCTCTATAGTGGGTTCCACATTTACGTACACTTTCCTGCAGTACCTTAGAAATAATGGAAGAAACATTAATTACACATATAGATTGTTTCAAAATAATGTGATCAAAATAAAAAGTCAAAGAGCAGATATCTAATCCTCCAAGCATATAATTAAAATTTTGTATTCCAATTTATTGTTTCACAACTCACTAATTTTCCATTGAATAACATGAAGGAAACTGATTTTTGATACAAAAAAGGAAATTGCTGAAAGTTTCGAAAAAGTCAGTATAGAATGAGCCAGAACAGCCTCTGGAATGAGCTAAAGGAAACTAAAGTTATTATTCCAATATTTATATCAAAATTATCATAACACTCTGAAGATCTTACTGAATGCGAGCAAATAACTGAATTGGTGCAAAAAAAAAAAAGCACATTCACAGTAACTCAAGTTTAACTCTTTTGCTAAAAGAGAGCCAAATATCAATTATAAGAATCTTAAAATTTATAGATTAGATTTCTTAAAACATTTCAATAAAAATTCAGTTTTTTGAAAAAACAAATCTTATAACAATCAAAACTTAATAACTACTCAATAATTCAATTTAATAAGAAGATTACATTTGGAAATACATTATAATTCTGGAATAAAAAATTATGAACTTAAGTGGATGAAACAACCTATAACAATTTATTCAAGCAATAGAAGTAAAAGTGCTACATTGTAATATCAACAAAGGAAATGCTTGTTTGTCAAATTTCTTGCAAAGCCATATCGCTGATGGCACTAGCCATGCAGAAAGAACTTATTTATTAGCATTTTTTTTTTTAATTCAGGAAGATAAATGTAGCAGAAATGTAATAATTAAATAGTGTGCAAAAAATATAGAGTTTAATGAATTAAAATAAAGAAAAATAATTACCGATAAGGCCATGAGAGATTCTTTTTCAATGGGTGACTGAATTTTATGGGCCAATAATCTAAGAGCAGTTTGAGGACCATTCTGTTCGTTGTCTATTGCAGTACAAAAATCATTTACAATATCTGGATCAGGCTCATCATGGAGGGGATTGGTAGCTTTAGCTGAAAAAGTAAAAGTACCAAACATAAAATAAGCTGAGAAAGATTTCTTAGTGAAATAAAAGAAAATTAGAGAAATCATTATTTGTTAGAGTTTTCATAAAAAAAAACTCTTTATCTGCTTTAGAAACATCAGTTATATTTTGTTGCAAGTTAAGATAAGGAGCCATTAGTCCTATAGAAAGAGTTTGCTTAAAACTAATTAGACAACTGTTATAAATCAGAAATATGGTGCAATTAGCTGCTTATAAGAACATAGAAAGAGTGTCAGATTCTGGTTCACATAAGTTACTGGCAACTAATAACACACATAGGCAGAAAAATGAATAACTTTCTGCGAACACAATACCTCAATTAAAAAACTTTCTCTGTGCATTGATTCTTTCTTGTAACTGTTTTCAATTCTTTCGTCGCCATCATTTTGACAAAATTCATTTGAAAATCAAAATTTTTTTAAAAAAATATTTAATTTTTATAGAACTTTTCAATGATTCATACTAACGGGATGAATTTGGCAAAAAACCAAAAAAGCTGAAAATAGAAATCCAAAAATTTTATGTGCAAAAACACTTTTTAAATGATTAAAAACAATACCTGAAATTTAAGCAAGAAAAAAGTGAATGTATGAAGCATTCCTCCACAGAAAAATATCAAAATTTTAATAGAAATATCAATGTGTGATTTTTAAATCACACAAATACGAATCGCGACATTTAATTTTTGCATAAATATGAATTTCAATGTTTGGTTTTAAAATTGTGGGAATATGAATATCGATATCTAATTTCAAAATTCTGTACATACGAGCTCTGACTACAATTAATCTAAATTATTAACTACAATACTATTGAAATTGTTGATAAATTATAATATTGGCTAATGTAAAAATAATATAAATTGGAAATAATTATGGTTTTCCAATTCAATTGGAAAACCATTGTGATATATAGTTAAATATCAATACTTTTAACAATAAATCACTTCATTAAAATTAAGCACTAATTGGTTAAATAGACTAACGTTCATGCTCGGGACAACTTGCAAAAGCAGTTGCGAACATATGGTTCCATATAACCAATAAGTACTTACACTTATTATGGATTGAAGTCAAAACAGATTAAATGATCTTGTGTGTTTAAAGTTGCATTTATAGATAAAAGACCAGCCAATAAAACATTCAATTTAAATAATGCTTTAAATGTTTCTTTAAATTTTTTCCTAATAAGAATTTTTATGAGACAAAATATTATTGACAAACATTGGCACTCTAAACACGATTACATCATGGGTGTCCGGGCTTCAAATTTTGAGGGGAACAAAATTAAAATCAATAGTTCTTAATTGAAAAAAAGTCAAAAACATTTCTTCCACATGCCAAATGCATAGAAAATTGTAATTGTTTTTAACATACTTTCAATTAGCTAAGTTCAAATCAATAGATTCGTGAAATGTTTTTGCCTGAAATATTTTTGGGAGACTTTTTAAAATTTCTAATTTTTGAAGGGGACATGTACCCACCATCCTCTTGAAAACAACAATCATAAAGTACTTAATACCAGTATTTGACTAAAAACAGAAATAGTCAATTTTGAGCATCATTTTCAACCAATGTAAAATTTAAGGTATTAGTCCAGTTTGAAAAAATTAATTGGCAGTGCCTCTTTCAGGTATGGAAAAATATTAACTGCATAATTTTGTTTAAAACAATTGCACTCCAAGCATTATTATAGGTATTCATCTTACTTGATTAACAAATCTTAGCAAATATTAATAAAGGTAACTGTGAAGTGTAAAAATTATGATTGTGAAATTTAAATATCGAATTTTACTTATAATCATGAGATGCTAAAAACAACTCAAGTAGAATTATTATACTTCACATAGAAGAAAAAGATTCGAATGATATACTTTTAGAGAAATGATTAGTCATCAAATATTTTATTAATGATTACATTTAATCTAAGCAAAGGATACAATGTCAGGTTGGGTCATTATCGGTTGGATTTATCAAATTCAAAACAAAGATAAGATAGATTGCTGGAATGGAAGCGACACTACGTATATATACTTATTAAATGTAAAAATAAATTCATTTATTTAACAAAAATAAAGAAAGTTTTTGAAATATACAGAGCTACACAACACAGTTCTCTGATTAACGAATCCGAAACATACAGAACAAAATAAAACTATAACAGCAAACTATCAGAAAATAATAATACCCAGGAGTAATTCCAGTGCATTTTCATTTCTAGTTTCTGAATTAGCCATAATTTAATTGAATGACATTTGCCGAAAAGAAAACAATTCTTCCTATCCTATCCTATCTTGCAAAGTTGCGTTTCTCTGCAAAGTTTCAGTTCCAGCTGGCTTTCGTCACAGTTGATAAAATTAATCATCTAAATATAAGATATTTAGTTAAAAATATTTGGCAACAAATGAATTTTTTCTCTTGATTGTTCAGGTGTTGTTTTTGTCATTTAATTGAAAACAACGAAGCGAAATTCCTTTTTTAAGCGAATTATGATTCAAAAGATATAGGTAACCGAAAGTTGCTGTATTATTTTCAAAACAAAACCTGACGGCAATTTTGTTTGTGTTTCAAGAACAATACTCATGAAAATAGTAGTTTTACAATGTTTGCTGTTATAAATATTATAAAAAATTATTGTAAACTTCTAGAAATTCTTTTACAGATGTAAAATTTATAAAAAAAACTTCGGAAATATAACTACGCCTACGTTGTTTTCATTATGAACTAAAGAAAAACTACATTATTGTATTAAAATGATTATAAGATGTGGTTTTTCCAAGCGGAAAATAAAGTATATTGCGTCCATAACATTCTTATTTATATTAATCGTTGTATCTGTTATAAAGTTTAATAAGAAAATTATTTCAAATATAAAAAACTATTTAGCTGGAGATATAGTAGATTTTACATTTGCAAATAATGTGACTGGTTATGATTATCCTATCGTGCCAAACATTGTTCACTATGTTAATTTTGATACGAAGGATTTGAATTTTATACAAGTTATAAGTATCAAAGCGGTAGTAAGAAACAGTGCCCCTGAAAAGATTTTTATACACTGCAATTGTTACTCCCTGTTTGGGAAGTATTGGGATATGGTGAAAAACATTTCTATTCTTGAAATAAAGTACAAAAATAAACCAACACATGTATTTGGCAAGCTTTTAAGTTCAGTATTTCATGCATCAGATATCGCTAGACTTCAAATTTTAATGACTTACGGAGGAATATTTTTAGATTCAGATACTTATGTCATTAAATCTTTAAATTATTATAGAAGATTTGAAATGGCATTAGGCTGGCCGCCAGATCAGAATCTTGGCACTCAACTTCTGGTTGCTCATAAAAATGCTAGATTTCTGCGTTTATGGTTCAACTCTTACCGTTATTACCGGAGGGAACGTTGGTATTATAATGCTGGTGAGCTACCTACTACATTCATTCTAGAGCGCATGCCATATCTGGTCCATAGAGTACTATATGATTTTGGCATTCATAATCTCGTCCAAATGCTATATGGCGTGAGAAGTCGAGAATGGAAAGACTTTCATGCCATACATTTATTAGTGAGACACAAAAATTATCTTTTGCCCGGTGATACAGTGACAGAGTTTAATGAAGAAAATATTAAACATTACAATAAAACTTTTGGTGATATGGCTAGATTAGTTTTATATGGATCTGAAAAATTATTTTAAATTGTATGTTATATACATTGATGTATTTTTATATTTTATTAAAATATTTTTCTAGAATTTTTGTTTTGTTCTATGTTTTTATAGAGTGTGAATGTTTGTAAATTTAAAAATAGTAATTGTGTAGTATGTAAATTTGTAAATATAAGTTTTATTTGTTAAATGAGAAAAATTTTTAATGACATATTATACAGTAGGCAGAATGTTATATTACGGGTTTTTAATAAATATCAAGTGCTTTGAAAATGCATGCCATAACATCTTGGGGGTTGCTCATAATTTTTATTCTTGATAAAGTTTTCAATATTTTCTATTTAAAAAAGAACTAAGCATTATTACACTAAATGTAAAATACAATGGTGTTGAATATTAACTATGAAAAAATAACTATTGAGGATTAAAAAGCATTTTAAAGGGGAACTTTACAAAATTATTGCTGAAACTTTTACATATGAGAATAGAAGTGCATTATGGTATGTGGAGATAACTTCACCACTCATTAATTCACATAAATAGTTCAAGAGATATTAGACAACTCTTGGAAATTAATATCTGGAAAGCTAGTAAAATGTAATTGATCATTTTGTGAGAATTCTCTTCAGAATATATGCACTATCTGAAGCTGTTTACAAATCTTTTTTTAAAGAAAACCACTTTCCCAAAATTAAATAATATTTTATAACTTACTTACAAAAAACTTTACAATTTTTTTTTATAATTAGAAATTTCAGTATTTTTAAAAAATCACTTTATATTTTCTGCTTTTGAGCTCTTCATATACATTAAAAAGAAAATATAGATAGTTATGAAAAACATAGTGTTTATACTACAATTATAAAACTTAGTCTAAGTCTGTTTTATCAAGACCTCGAACATTGTTTGTTTGGACACATAACTCCTTACTCAATGAGTTGATTCAATAGTTTCTTATGATCCTCTTCATCAATTACTGATTTGATTTCAGGCTCTGGTATAAAAATTACTTAGCTCTATATTACTGATAATTATAATTAAAAAAAAACCCTGCATTGTCATGCTAGTTCAAAAATATCATTTTTACCAAAAATAGAATTTAAAAAAATCTGTCAAAGTTGAATTTAGGAATGAGTAAGAGGATAGAAAGAATATTGTAAACTGTTTGTAAGCACATTTCAAAAGATTTGTTTTTTGAAACATGGAAAGAGGTTATATCCTAAACAAAGAAGTGATCATATGGTGTAAAAATATTTATATTGTCTACAGCATCTTTTGTAACTAATTTAATCTTTTGGCAACTTGTGTAGCTATTTTGAAAAATTATGTATGGCATTTATACAATATCTTCCATTATTAGTATGTCATTTATTTCGTCTTTTTAGTTCATCAGAGTTACTTAATAAGGAATAATATTTTTTAGTCACTTTTGCTTATCCATTTAAAATATGTGACAAATGGTAAATTTTGAAAAATAAATCTCATTTGGTGTCATAATCAAACTTTTTTCAGTGCGCTACAAGACAAAATTTTTTTTTTCTAAAGAAGCTTAACATTTTAGATAAAGAAAGCTAAAATGTGCAGTTTAATTATTAGACATTAAATAGATTTTTATTTGGGCATAAAAATTCAGAAAATCAAATAGGTTTTTATGTAGGTTATCAAATCAATTCAGAAATTTGTCAAAGCTATTGAGGCTTCTTTTTTCTTTCTTTCAAAGAATGAATTATTTATTTTTTCAATAAAAGTAAAATTATTAGTTTATAGTTTGTGTGCTGGGTTTGTTCAAGCCACAAGTTCATTAAACGTCTTGTTTTCTATATCAAACATATTTAAAAATTTATGTCAATATGAAACATTTCATAGTGTCACAGCAATAATGAAAAGGTTTGATTTTAAAAGCAAATTGTTACTTTTTCAAAAAAAAAAAAACAGTTTTTAGTTTTCCCACTTGTGATTTGCAGAATGCAAACCTTCCTATAAATGATCCCTACTGGCCTATGAATGTTAAAAATTTATTCAATTTCAATCATTTGTAGAAATTTTGTTTGTCTTTTTTAATAAATATAAGTTATTTTTAAGAAAATTTGACAAAAATAATCTTTACTGAGTTTTAAAAATAATTACTCAAGTCAGCAGTCCTAAAATAATAAGGATAATGCTTTTTTCAAAATCAAAAGAGCTGGCAAACTTAAATACTAGTTACAACATTTTAATTCAGGGTGGTCACAGAACTAGGAAAAGTTAGGAAACTTTATCAAAAACTAAGAAATTTAATTAAGATATCCAAAAAGTCAGGCAAAATGAATATAAGTATGTTTGAGATACCTAAAAGTAGGGCTCTTAATATTACTAACCATTGCGCTAAATCGTGACATGTTTCATTTGGCAATGAAACGAGCAACCATGTTTGCTAAATTGGGAGAACTGAAGAAACACTTTATTTTCTTTCCTGCAAATCTCTTGGATATTAAAAATAAAAACACTTTCTGTGATTTGATTCAAAAAAACTTTTTTATTTATTTATTAAACCCATTTAATGTACAACTACTATATCACAAATCAGAGTTAACTTGAGTTGGACATAAAAGTTTCACAAGAGTTGAAAACTTTTTTTTCTGGACTTCCTTAAATTTGAAAATAATTGCTTTGGTAGTTTCTATAGCAGATAGTTAAATTCAGATCAGTAACTGGAGGAGGAAGAAAATTTATTTTGCTTCTGTTGTTTTTTCTTCATTTGGCTAATCCCTTTTTTTTTTTTTTTTTTGAAATTGTTCATTTTCTCAACTCTAATGGCATGTATAGTGTGCTCAAAAATAAAGTGAACATCGTTTTTAAATAATATAGTATGTATTTTTCATTTTTTAATGCTTTCAGGTTATTTTAAATATCTTCTTTCAGTATCTCGTCCGTTATAAAATAAAAGATTAAAATTTATAAAAAAATATATATGCTGTAAAAAAATATATATGCTATTAAAAATGCATTTATACATGTAATTAGAAGCAAGTATCTATTGAAGACAAAGTGCATTGTGTTCAAAATGTCCCATCCATATAAGGCAGTGTCCAAATATATATTCGATAATAAAACCCTAAATGTAAATTGTCCACTTTGCAATTGTGAAATGACTCTTGAAACACATCAAAAGAATCACATAAAATACATTCATAATATAGATCTGTTCACTGAATGCAGTTTTTGTTTAGGTTATTCTTTTCAGAGAAGGACGAAGCCTACTGCTAAATTAGCAATACATATTTATGAGTTCTTATTCGAATTTATTAGAATACCAAAACAAAAAGACAAGCAGATAAATTTTACAAGCTCTATCACCCAAAAAAATTTATCAGTTGAAAAAAATTTTAACAGCTGAAAGCAATTTATCAGCCATTGAAAATAGATCAAATGAAAACATGACATTAAAAAATCAAGAATTTTAATATTGTGAATATGCATGTTTCATTTCATATTTTAGTTGTAACAAATTGGGTCAATAGACCAGAGTAAAAAAATAATGTTGCATTTTTTGAGAACTTTGTTTAAAGACACTAATGAGAGTGGTCTCGGTAAAGAAGCTAGTGCAATGTTTAAAATTTATCAAGTTTTAAATGTATTCTTATTCTAAATGTATCATGTAGCAGATCAAAAGAAGCAAGTTGACATTAAAATTTAAATAAAAAGTTAGAAACCAAATACAAGTAAAAACGAAATTTTAAAGATATGAATATTAGCAAAAACAGCACTTCATCAGGGAACACACTGTCTGTTCCCCTAATAAAGTGCTGTTTTTGCTAACATACATATCTTTAGAATTTCGGTTTTGCTTGTATTTGGTTTCTAACTTTTTATTTAAATTGTTTACATAAGAAAAAATTAGTTTTAGCTGCTTTCCCATTTTGACTTATTATTTTAAAGTTCTTATTCTTAATATTTACTTAAATCAATTTAATACTTGGACTAGACATTATTTACATCCCCCATCTTTGCATAAGCATTCAATAACTGCCATGTGCTGTTTATGTGAAAGTTGTCTAGACGAATGTTTAAACTATCAACATCTCAACAAAGTGGTGGAATTGTATATGTATATAATGAAATTTATGCTTCCAGTTTTAAAAAGCAGGAAAATTAAAAAATATATATCAAGGGAAATTCAGGGATATTTTGCGTGTTTGTGATCATTGTATTATTTCAAAAACACTATCCTGATTTTTTAGGGCAAAAAACAATGATCCTTGCCTTACGCTAACTTCTTATTCTAAAATAGCAAAAATATAAACCAGGAGCAATAAAAAAGTAGAAAATTTGTTAAACCTTTTTAAATTTTCGATAGATTTTACTTTAATAGTAAATAAAAAGAAAACAGTGAGTAGGTTTCTGCATTATTGCTTGTTTAATTATGGAGATATTCTTTTGAAAGATATTTTGAATTTAAAAAGTAAAAAGATTAAAAACAAAGTTGACAAAAATCATATTTGTAAACTTAACTGGGTGAGAATCAATAATTTTGTCTACAAGAAAGACTAATTTTAACAGCAATTAAATAAACTATTTCACATAAGTTTTCATACAATTTTATTAAATAGCAACAATTATTATGCAGCATTATTTACACATAAACAATCTATTGTCATTAATTCAAATCAATGCCATCACATTGTATTATAGAATTTACACATTGTATTGTATTGTAGAAACTTAACTGGATGAGAATCAATAATTTTGTCTACAAGAAAGACTAATTTTAACAGCAATTAAATAAACTATTTCACATAAGTTTTCATACAATTTTATTAAATAGCAACAATTATTATGCAACATTATTTACACGTAAATAATCTTTTGTCATTAATTCAAACCAATGCCTTCACATTGTATTGTAGAATTTAAACCACTTTCATCTTTGGCTATGGTGAACTTCGCCTATAAAATAAAATACATCTAAATGTTTTCAAAAATATTGATTAGTACATTATCATAATAAATTTCCCATGAAAAAATTGAACAATTTTATTATGTACACAAAAATTGTTACTATTCCTAAATAATATATTCAGAGCTGATTTTAGAACAGACTAAATAATCAGCAATTATGAATACCAGTGTCTCCAATATCATTGGATTAATTTAATATATATATATATATATATATTTANATATATATATAGAAACGAAAAAAAACTTTAAGTAGATTATGGTTCATAAGAGTTATCCTTATAAGAAGGCAATGTCTATGGTTAACGTGGCAGACCATCCTGCTAATTAATTAAGATATAGAATTACAAACAAAAATGTATTTATTTTGAATAAATATTTTTATTCAACAGTATTCAAATTTTAGGTTCTTTAAAGTTGCAGTAACCTCAATGTTGAAAATGGCAGAGACTATAAAACTAAAAAGCTAATTTATACAGATGTAGAAATTTAAAAAAAATTAGTCACTATTTCAAAAGCTCAAAAACTTAGATTTTACTAATCCGCATGAATTTTCACGTCTCTATAACATTTAAAAAAAAAGTTTATTAAGTGAATTTAAATTAAAAATACAAAGAAAGTGTAATGCTTGTGATTGTGATAAAATGATGATAAATTTGCTACTCTGTGAAAAAAAAAAAAGATCAAAATATGAAACCAAAACAGTATTTTACATTGTTTACTAATTGACTGATAATTATTTCATGGTTGTCCGAATAAAATTTTAATTGCCCTGGGATCGACGTATCACCGTTAATTTAGAGCCCAAAAAAGCAGTGCTCTAAACAAAATGAAGTAATAAGGAATGAAATGTTCAAAACAAAGAAAAAATATATCCACTTGTAGGTAAACTAATCAAATGGAAAACCTATTTCTGACATTTCTTTAAATGAACTAAGAGAAATAGGTTTGGCATTATTTCCATAACAGCAGACAATTACAGCCATTTTAATTTTGGAATAATTAAATGAAAAAAATAAGTTCTTGGCTTATAAAAGCTTACTTCTGTCATGAGTTGAGCAATGTGGATGGCAGTCTCAGTGTGGAGGGTTGGTTTACCAATTTTAATCCTTGACACACCTTTTGCTAATGCCATAAAAAGTATCAACTGAAAAGAAATAGAATTAATTAGATGTTAAAGACTATTTTGGATTTAAAAATTCAAAACAGGTTCGAATTCAAAACATTTTTTTTTGCTACTAGATTAATTTTTTAAATAAATTTTATTAGAAAAAGCAATAAATATAAAATTAAACTTAATTAAATCCAAATAATTATCATTACTGTATTTAGAAACAAATTTAGAGGATTAAAACTTTACACATAAAAGATGTTACACATAAAAGATAACCTGGTCTTGCACATATCGATCTACACAGGCTTCACTTTTAGTGTCAGCAACAATTTCCTCTGCTGCCTTTTCACCAACTTCACTTGCCTGAACTCCTATAGAAAATATAATTTAAATTTGTTTCAAACAAGAAATATATATATACATATACATAGACACATACGATTAACACAATACATATTTTTCGTAATATAAAACTACAATATTCAAAAGATCATAAAATACCATCGAACTAAAATTTATAACAGGTAAGCTGGGAAAATTATTCCTCTGTAAGTATAATAAAGACCAATAATTTAAATGTTCTTACACCCTAAAATGTAATTTTGCTTAATTTTACTGCCAAATTTCAAAATTATGCAATACAAAAATTACGAAACAAAGCAACCAAAAATAAAACAATGAAACTTGATTGATCAACATATATGTACAGTGTAATGTCCCATATCCGGAAGGGTCGATTTCCTGGACACTTTTTAACAATCAAAATAAACATCTATTCTCTCTTAAAAAAAAAAAGTCTTTGGACACACGTTTTTTTCCTTTTCCAGCTTCTAGTGATTCATGCATTGAACCCATAAATCAACAGAAATAGGAAGAGAAGACCTTCCAAGATCATAAGCATAAGCAATGCTCCTCCTCAGGAATGCAGGAAAGGGGGGAGATTTGTTTTCAAAAGAGCACAACTGAGTCCTCTCCCTCCTTCTTTCCTATGCAGCTGGCTAGTAAAAGAGGCATAATTATTATTTTCTAATATTTTGTTTTTGATTGATTAGATATCTTAGCTTCTTAGATTCAGATCGTTTATTAGATCATTTTAAGCTTTGTTTACCTTGGGGGTCTATTATACGGAAAAATCTAATATCCAGACTACCAAAAGACCCACCGATTCCGGATACGCGACTTTCCACTGTGTATATACAAAGGTAAGAGAGAGAAAGAAAGGAGAACGACACAAGGTCTAGTCACATCAATGTGACAAACTGTAGCCGAGAAAACCAATCTAGAAGACTAGGGTTCATCTTTTAAATGAAACATCAGACAGTCTTGCCTTTAAGGACTTTTTAGTGAAACTGACACAAATGACATTATTACAAATGCTAAATTATAAAAATTTCTTGAAATCAGCAGGAGAACAAGAGGGATCTAATGCATGATCAAAATAACAGTTTTACTTGTTAAAATATGTTAAACAGAAAAAAAAGAAAGAACATTTTATGCTCACTGAAGTTTTAAAAAAAATAATTGGAAAGATAAAAAATTAGGCCTTATTAGTCAGCATTAAATGAAGGTTTTCAAAATTATAATAATTGCAATTCATAATAATAAATTCTATAGAATTATTATTACATGTGATTTTTTTAGAGTCAACAAGTTTCAAAAAATTTCGGAAATATTAGCACATACAGAAACTAAACATAATAGGATTAAAGTCAAATACAAGAATTTTTTTATTTATAGAATATAAGAGTTATAAAGCATTAACAGTAAAATGCAATAATAGCTCTTCTTCTTCAAATAGGTTTGAGTATTAAAGCTATCTATGTTTCTCAGACTAAATTGTCTCTTTCTAAATTGTCTTTAAAAATCATATTTTGCCTTTTGTTAAAAATATCTTGAAATAAATTAAAAGTAGGTGAAAAAGATAAAAAAGAAACCTGTTACTTTTTTTTAAAATCTTTCACAAAATCTAGTATCATTGAAAAAAAACAGACTTTATAAATGCTTTAAGATTGTAAATTAAAGCATACTTAGGAAGAAAAAATGCAACTTATAATTTAAATTTATGTTACCTTTATTTGAGTAGTAATTTTAAAAGAAATGGGGGCCTTAATGAAGCAATTTAATTTAAACAGAGAATGCATACCTCTTTTTCCTAGTGCTGATCCTCCAAACAAACAGCCAGAGTCCATTTTAGCAACAATTCTGAAAATAAAGAATAAAAATAAATACAAGGGAAAAAATTTGATAAAGAAAATAATTTTTTCAAAGAAGACGTTAGCTTTATGTATATTTTTATACAAAAAAGTATTAACATAAAAATTACATATTAATCGATAACTTTTAAAATTGTAAAAATACATTGTTATATTAATATATGCAGTAACCAAAATATTTTTTCATTGGGTCCCCAGACCTTTTAACTACATTTTGATTACTGAATTTTTACTTTCTCTAACTCTATTTTTTAACTATGAAAAAAATCAAAATAAATTAATCAAACCACATAGGTTACAACTTCTTGTTCCCTTTCTTTAAATCTATGCATAACAGACTTAAAAGGTTAAAACAGATAGAGGCAGTGTTAGAGAATAGGACAATGTTTTCTTTTGCCTGTATAGTTAGTATTAATAATGCTGTTCTGAGTCACTTACAATGCCATCTAGTGTGCGCTTTTATAGCTAGAGTCTAGTGAGAGAACGAGTGAGCTCATTGCTATACAAGTTCTAACTAGTAGGTAGTGCATGTTGCTGTATGATGAATGGGGCAAAGATGTATAAACTCTGATTCCTATCAGATGGTGAGAAAAGCAAATAGAGTTTTGAGTCCACACGCTCATGAAAATATAATGAAGACAAATTATACAGTTCATCTTTATTGGAGTTATGAATATTTATTTGATCGATAAGTTAAGCTATCAAAGGACCAAGACATTGGTCTATAAACTAGCAGGAAGATAGCTACACAATTCTTTGGAGAGATACTGATTTGTGTTATTAAGGATTAATAATAATACAAACAATTGATTTGTTCTGGGTCTCGTTTTTGACAGCAGTCTCAATACAAAAAAGCAGCAATATTGTTCCATTGAGTATTGAAAATTTGAATATTAATTATTTTGAGAATTATATTTCTTGAGTAGTAGTTGCTTTTGATTTTAATGATTTTAAATAAAAATATGTGTTTGCAAAAAACAATGTAGTTACATAATAAGTATATTTTTGTTTTCTAAATTGGAAAATGCCGGAAAAGCAAAATGACAGAAATAAGGATAATAGTCGTCACTGGAGTGACTGGTTTATCAGTACAGGAAAATGCGACAAAGAGAGTGTTAAAACATTTAATTGAGTAGAGTGAGACAATGATTTCATTGACAATAATTTACTGACAATGACAAAAAGCACTGAAACTTAGAAGGATATAATAAATAATATTCTGAAGAAGAAATAATAAATAAAGCTGATCAGAAGAGTTAAATTGAGCAAGAATAACTTAAATTAAGTAAATAACTTAAGTTAAGTAAGTTAAAATAAGATAACTTACATGATTCCACTTCCATTTCCTTCAGCTAAATGAGATGGTTCTTTGATTCTCTCAATTTTTATTTGTGCAGTTGGATACTGTTTTTGTAAGCATTGCATAGCACCATCAGCCATTGCATGTGACATCTAATAATAATTATGAAATAATAATTATAAAAAAAACATACTAATAATTTTATGATAATAATAATTATTNACTTGGGAAAAAACATACTAATAATTTTATGATAATAATAATTATTATGAAATAATAATAACTATAATTATTATTTCTAATAATAATAATAATCATGAAAAAACATACTAATAATTTTATGATAATAATAATTATTATGAAATAATAATAACAATAACAATCATGAAAAACATACAGAAAATGTCACTAAAATGAAATAATAAATAAGATTCTGGATTTGGAAATAGGGTAGAACTGTTTTGAGATCTTCCTTCCTCCTAGACTCAACAAATCAGAACACGTTGAGCACCAATAGAGGTAGAATGACTGCTGTAGGATAATTCTTGTTCTAATGATGAGATCATGTTATAAGTGGGCAATCACTACCTTTAGTTTTCCCTATTTATTTCAATGGAAGAAAATCGAGCATAGTGGCTCAGGGGATAGAGCCTCCGCCTCCCAATGAGGTGAACCAGGTTCGAATCCCAGTGATGGCTGGTCGATACAAATTCCGCACCCTGCTCCCACCGACCACAGTGCTGATGCAAAATGTCCTCAGTGGCAGACGGATCAGGGGTTAGAGTCCCCTTGGCATCAGGCTATCCATAGGAGGTTCCCATTATTTTCATTTCCACATAATGCAAATGCGGATTAGTTCATCAAAATTCCTCGAGGAAGGTGAAATTTCTCCCAACGCTTAATCAAGCAGTTTCTTTGTCTTCTGGATTGGGTTAAAAATTACAAGGTTATGAAGTTGAACATTAGTAGTCATAAACCCAAAATTGGGCACTGCTGTTCAAAGACGGTTATGAAATTATAAAATAAAATAGAAGAAAATCGACGCATGAATTTTCAGAAAAAATAAATACATATTATCTTTTACTATGGTGCATCTGAAAGTAAAGAACTTTGTGAAAAGAGGATCTTAATCATTTTATAGATGAGTTTTTTTTTTTTTTTATCAATATCTGGAATTACAATCACATTATTTAGTTTATAAATAAACTTTAATTAAAATGTGTATAATTATGAATGTTAAAATGAATTTTTTATTTTTGAAAATATTTTTTCCCCTCAAAACATCAGATTAATCCCCAATTATTGCATCTTATTCATTCTAAAATCCAAATTTATACTTTCAAAACTTTTTATAAGTGAATATAAACATGTTAAAAAACAACTTACCTGAACTTATTTGAACTTCATTTTTCAAAATTTTAGTTAATTATACTAGGCAAAGTTTTGGCAACATTTTTGCTTCGTTTATTTACATTGTAATTTTTTGGGAGCTTGTTTTGAATTAGTTTAGCTCATAAACTACATTTGTTAAATGAGAAGAGGGTTTATGAAATATTGTTACAATTTTATTTGATAAACAGGGCAAAGTGTTTCAACAATTAATTACTAGTTCTTTCATGAAATTTTCAAATCTTTTTAAATTGCAATAATACATGAAAAAAAAATGAAAATACTAGCAGCAATATTAAAGTTGGCTAATCTAATCACTGCGGTAAATTTTAATGTTTAAAAAAGGGAAGCAATTTTTTTAAGGGGATTCTCATTCTTAATGTAATTTCACAAATCCTTGATAAGTATAAAATCATTTCTTGTAAATCTTCTAAATACTTAGAAAGACTTTCATAATCTTAAGAAATGCTGTCAAAGCTCAAATATCTAAAAGTAGGAGGGGGTTTGTGATTTGCTGGCAAAGTTTAGGAGGAGAAAGACTAATGCTTATGCAAGACATTAAATTTCCTATAGTTTTAAAATTTTCTTAAAAAGCAAAATTTTAAAATGTAATAAAAAAATTACACATGGAAAAATTTAAAATTTTGAATAAAAGTTAAATTTAAGGATAGAAAAAATTTGGAATTTTTTTTCTTTTTTTTTGAAGTGTCAGAGCTGAAAAGTTTTAAACACAAAAGATTCCTAAAAAAATATTTAACCTAAAATTTTATAAAATGATTCAAAACATAAATTTTAGGAGAGAAAAATTTAGAAAAAAAAATTCTTTGAAGAGAGTCAGAGCTGAAAAGTTTTAAACACAAAAGATCCCTAAAAATTTTTTTTAACCTTAAATTTTATAAAACGATTCAAAACATAAATTTTGTTTTATGCAAAGTTACATCTTTTATTTGAATGCAATCCTAAAATTAAATAACTACATAAAGTCAAAATAAAAACCAGGGACGTAATGTTGGGATTTTCTTACAGAAGCATAGGATAGGGTTTTGATTTACATCTCTTTGCTACCAAAATATGCTCATAATACTTGAAGTAAACCCTTATGAAATTTTAAACAGATGCTAAAAGTTTAAACATATTCAGTAATTTCTAAAGAAAGGTATAAAAGGAATGACTTCAAACCTTCACAGGAAGTACTCCAGCCACAAAAGCTTTTCCCAGAATAGTTACTAAGGTTCCTCGATGAATCAGTTCCATGGGCTGTAATGGTAAACTTGGAGGAGACACTTTCACACGTATCTCTCCACCGCCTTTGGGATAATAGCCCCTAAAAATGTTTTAAAAAAATACAGAAATTAATCATATGCATTTATATGAATATTTAAATCTAGAAATTGCAGAATATAATAGTGGGTGGCTTAAATCAGAGTTTTCCCCAAAAATAAAAAAGGCACTAAAAGTTTTGAAAGGGCACTCATTCAATAACGTAAAAATTTTTTAAAATGCGTAATATTATGCAATAACAGAATTTTATCTTCAATTTTTAAATTACTCTCTTATACCATATGATGTGTATATTTCAAAAAAATGATTCTCTCTCAATCTGTAGTTTATAAAAATAATTAAAGGCATGCTAATAGATAATCTCTGGGTATAAATTCTTTTAAAAAAAGGGAACTAAAAAAAAAAAATTATTGATATATTTTAAACTGAAAATTATGAAAAAATGAACATTAGAAGTAGTCTTTTTTACAACAAAAAAAAAGGTTATTTATTTAAATAATAATTTTCAAAATTAAAACCATTCAAAAATTTATTATTACTCACCCCCACCCCCTGAAAAAAGAGATACTTATAAAAATGTAACGAGTTGAGAATAATCCCAACATAAAAAATATTTGTAATGGCAATCAGAATTAAACCTATAAACACAGATAATTTGTATAGTGTGCAATTATTATTTTAACAGTGAATGAATTTTTTAAAAAATGGAATATGAATAAAAAAGCAGTGTTTTTAGGGATGGGCAGCTTATTTTTACCAAAAGGGCATATTCAAGGGCAGACAGGGTGAACCACCATTTCATAAATTCTTAGGGAGAACACTGCTTAAATAAAGGAGTCAAGAAGGGTTTTAGGGAGAAGATTTTTAATTTTGCATAATTTATCCACAAAACTAAAGCACATGTTCTTAAAATGAGTGTTCAATAATATTTTTAAAATTCAAAGTTTCAAGATATGAAAAGCACAGCAATTTGCAGTTGAATTAGTAGAGATAAAAACCCTTTTTGAACAAGAAAACTTGGAATATGCTTAACAGGTTTTTCACTGCTAATGACAAATGAATTAAAACTCATCTTCTATTTTTATGCAATATTTTTTACACAAATTATTCAATAAATAAAAAAGGTTTAATAATATTATTATCCCTAATAAGTATTACCGTTTAATGATATCACAAGAGAACTTGATACCCATTTTTTCTACANAAAAAAACAAAAAAAAACAAAAAAAAAAAAAAAAAAAAAAAATGAATATACCTTTAATATTCATAAAATTATATTTCTTAGAAAATATCTTACAGTATACAAAATCACCATAATGTACAAAGAAAACAAAAATATATTAATAATTCACAATATTTAGGTACCATTCATGTTATTTATTTGAAATAAATAATACTTATTCATAAATAATTAGATCTTTTTATAAGTAATTATTTTATGCATTTTTGTTCTAACATATTACACCAGAATATTAATACCTATTACATCATGATTACTATGGATTTTTTTAATGGAAATTACCCATCAGAAAAGCTCCATTTATTATTCAACACAACAATAAAAAATCTATTTTTTAGAAACAAATGATTTTTTGTTATTTTAAGTATTATTTTCTTTTTTAAGGTATTAAAACTGGTTAAAAATAGTTAGTTATAGAATATTGCATTCTTCAAACAATGAAGTTGAGAAAAATTTTATACTAATGTTGGCTTGAATATTATATGTAAGCAATATAATGCTGACACATATTATGCAAGCAAATATATATATATATATATTACTGCACATATATATAAGCTTACATATTGCTACGTATTATATATTGCCATATAGTATATAATATATATTGCTTGCAAACATATGTAAACTTGCATATACGTAACGTTACATATGTATTATGTATAAGTTACTTTTGTTTTTAAAAAGTTTTCATAAATTACTATAAAAGTAGCAAAATATCAAAATAAATCGACACAACAAAATTTGTGAGTAAGAAAGAACATGCATTTTATTTTTATATATATCATCATTTTTTAAAAAAATTTTAATATTTTTACACCATTAAATTATACAGTAACTGTTAAATTAATAAAATGAATCGCATATCAAGTGAACACATTTATAAGTTTATTGAAATACCATGAGAGTATGGTCGATTTGAGGTGCCATATCAACATTTGTACCACCTTTCAATACTAATTCTGAAGGACCACGTCCATAGAGGAGGCAAGGTAATGATACTTGGAATAACAGCATAATACTCCTGTAATAAGATTTAATATTAAAACATTTAATAATATAACATCAGAGATTTTATTTGTAATGTAAAAATAACAAACTACTTAATTACAAAAATACAAGGACATCAAAATACAAAAGAAACAGAGTATTTCTAAATAAAAAGGTAACAGATTAGAAAAGAAATTTATATTTATTTAAAATAAAATTTAGGACGATTCTGCCATTTATGACTGTTGTATTCGCAGCCTTAAGTGCAACAATCATAAATGGCAGAATAAAGGCTCAGTGAAAAAAATTAACCACTTCAATAAATATTATTAGAAAAACACTTGGTGTAATTTACACTTGCTAAAATTTTTAAAAATCTTTAGAAATTAAATTTTTAAAAAAAAATTATTAACTGGCTATTACAGATGTAACAAAATATGTTATGTCTGTAAAAGCCAGTTTTAAAATTTTTTTACTAATGAAAATTACTCAAAATTGCGAGTGACTAAGATTTACATTAACTAAAATTATTAGAACGCTTGGTTGTTTTGAGTCAAATGCTTTTAAAGCCGGCATATGAGATTTTTAAAAGGTGGTATTGCCCTTTAATTGCAAACATGATTTTAAATTTATGTACTTAACATATCTCTCAAATGCCCTCTCTGATGAGAAAAAAAAAGAGCACATCTACTGTCTTTTAAAAACCTCATCTTTAAATTTAATTTAACAAACATTAATAAGAAATAGAAAGTAAAGATTATCAGATTAACGAATTCTTGATTGATATATTAAAATGAATTATTTAAACTGGACATTCATAGCAGCAAGACTTCTCAATACCAATAAAACTTTATGAAAGTCTTTTTGTTTTTTTCTGATATCATATTACCAAAAAATAAACCAAAATATGCACCAATTACACAAGGTAACTAAAAATAGAGAAATGTATTTATTTCACTGAAGTTTAAAATTGCTCAACTGCATAGCCTTATAACTTTTATATAAACATTTTACTGTATCATATATGATCTATATCAGGGGTTTCCAACTTACATGAGGCCGGGGGCCACAATTAAAAACACAAATCAAATGGCGGGCCGCAACTTTATCAAAATTTTATGTAGGACTCATTTGTGTTTGAAGAACATTAAATATTATTGTCAGATTTTTACCAAGTTGTACAAAACAAAAGTATTGAATTAGAAATTAAAATAAGAAGTAGATTTTAAAAAATATTTAATTGCATATTAAAAATATAATAACTTTAGTGTGCACCCATGTAGTACACAATTAATGTGCAACAGATATCTAATTGTTAAGATATACAACTTTTAAAAGGTTGGTATTAAAACTTGCATAGTAGCACACAAAATGTTCAATAACAAAATTGAGGTTTGTCTGCTGCAACCACCAGATAATAGATATTTACATTTTAAATTTAAAATTTACAAATGTGTGTGTAAATATTTTTGTCCAAAATGAGTGGTTTCAAAAAGTTAAATCGGAGAATTTCTTCTAGAAAGTGTCTGATAGACATATGCTAAATTACATTCACAAAATACAAAAAAAATGAAATAAAAAAGAGCAACATACACGATTATTTTTGTATTTGAATAAATATTTTCTTGGATTTAAAACAAAGAGCTAAATANTATTGAACGAGTTGTAGATGAAATTGTAGCTGAAAACAAAGAGGAAGTGAAGATTACTAATCTTTTCCATTAATTTAACTGGTAGGTGTCAATTTTTAAAAATATGCATAGATTTTTCTTAATCCCGATTTTACGTTATTCCGCTTCGAGCGTTTTTTATCGCTAGTCCGATCGAAAACGTAAAATCGGGGTTTCACTGTATATTAAAATGATTTATTCGAACTGGATATTCATAGAAGCAAGACTTTTCAATACCAATAAAACTTTAAGGAAAGTCTTTCTGCTTTTTTCTAAAATCATTTTACGAAACATAAACCAAAATATGCACCAATTACACAAGGTAAAATAGAGAAGTTTATTCATTTTACTGAAGTTTAAAATTTCTCAACTGCACAGCTTTATGACTTTTATATAAAAATTTTACTGAATCATATATGATCTATATTATACATCTTTCAAATATAGACACCTTATGCATGCATGTTATTTTACCTGAGAGGATGACATTTTCACAGTATCAAATATACAATGCTAAATTAAACGATATACTTTTGAAAAATAATTAATTGTAGTTCCCTTTGTATCTGTCTTAAAGATAATTTTAATAATTGAAATTTGAAATGCTTGAATATATCAGTTTTTTTTCTTCAAAGTTACTTAAATTTTAATGACTACAAACAATTGAATGATCTTCACAAAAATTTTTCTTTATAAAAAATTTATTAAGATAAAAACTCTGGAGTTAAATCTTGTAAATTCTTTAACATTGATATGATGCCTCATTAGTTAGAGTTTGGCATTCTACAGAGGGCAAGGAGATATAACTTTTTTCCTTTGGGCAGATAAAAGCAAAACAGAGTAGAAGTTATGAATCTAAGATAGAGTATAGTGGTTCACATTATTCATTCTATAGTAATTCATAGTAAATAAATAATACTTTTAATTCTTAAATTTGAGTTTGTAATCTGCTGAGGTTCACATTAATTCGATAAACAGATGCTTAGCAATTATTTAGGCACACTGGAATTCAAATATCGATAGCCGATTATCAAAAATAAGTGTTTAAGCTTCAGAACAATTCTAACACACATAAATTACAATCACTTTTGTAAATATATATATTATTTAAAATGGTAGCACAAAATAACTATAATTAGTGCTGCCAGAGCACTTACAGAAAAAAAAAATCAACTTATCTAATACATAATTAAATGTATACAATTACCCTGCTGTACCAGGATCAGCAGAATACTTCCCACATTTAATGTCATTTGGATGAAATGTTATTTCAGTTGAGCCGACTGCATTACCTACAAGGCGGCCATTACACAAATCACGAACAAGATTGACACCAGCAAGGTGTTGAGGTCTAAAAGAAATGACAATTATATCTGTATTTAATTATGGAATTGAAGAAAAAAGCTTAAAAAGTAAAGCTAAAAGGCATAAGTTAAATGAAAAGAGAAAACAAATTAAACAAAAATAGAGAAAGACAAGAAAAGATAAACAAGGAAAATGATTTTCCAGTTATATATTTTTATTAGGAAACAATAGTAATGCCCTTAGTAATGATTAAAATATTTTTAGGAAGTAATTCATTTCTATAAATGAAAAACATTTTCCTTTTACTTATTTATTTTTATTATAAAAATCAAATAATTTAAAATTTTCAGTAACAATTAGAGAAAATAGGAAATATTACCAAAAACATATCTTAATTTTAAAATATATAGAACTTAAAAATTGAAAGTGATTAAATTGTTTCATGCATAAGTTGCTTTCTCTTAAAAAATTAACATAAAATATAAAAATTAAATGACTGTCTTTTTTATGATGTTGTCTCTTTGATAGTAGAAATACAGGTTAATTTTATTACTCTTTGTTGGCAACTTTACAACACTGTGAAAAATATTCATTTCTATGTTAGCATTTTTTATTAAGTTTTGTGCATTTTTTGGCAAAAAGGCAGTGGTTTTTTCTAGCAAACATAAAAATGTTTTCACGTGTATGCTCTTTTGATACTTAAATGTTATTTGAATTTATTCTAATAAAAAACTAAAACTTCACCACTTAAAAACATTTGAGTGCTAGAAAAGTAGCTAAGGAAAAAAGATTTTACTTTACTCAAGAAAAGTTCTAACTATTTACAATAGTTTTATATTAATACAAATCTGATTACCGCATTTGGTAGCACTTCCGTGCAAGGTGTCACAAACCTGCTGAGAGGCATTGACTCTTGGTGGTTATGCTTTAAGAGACGGTGGCATATACCCTTTTTATATATAAAAAGGGCAAAGAGGATGCATTTATTGGGATCAAAGGGCAACAGGATGGTAGCCCTTTTAAATTTAACAAAAAATTAAATTACATTTTATTTAAACTATATCATATATATTTAAAAAATAAAGAATAATTTTAAGTTACCATGAAATTGATTATAGATTCTACCTGAGACCTGGAGTGCTTCTTCCTGATCTTATATTGAATACTCTAATAGGTTTTTTTAGCAAAACACTAAAGGCCAAAGACATTCTCAGAATTTGACCTCCCTATAAATAAGATAAATGAAAATTAGTAAATATTTGATGTTGACATTTTTAAAAAAAAAATTAATACACACAGTGCACAATGCAGATTTATAAGCAGTTTTAAAAAGTTTTTGAAAAAATTTTGCAGGGATATTTCCATATTGTGCTTGGTCACACCAACTATATTTGTCAAAATGTGAAGGCATTTTAAACCTCCAACTTTAAAAGAAAAAAAACAAACAAAAAAACAACAGGTATAGGTTTGCCTAAGCATGTATACTAGTTTATACTCTTGCCCTTTCTGTGATGCCTTCTGTTTCTGCCCAGAGGTTGCTGAGACTCACAGATACATAGGTCTAGCATTTCAGGTAGAGCATCCTCATCAGTTGAAAGCGAAATTTTATAAGAATGCTTAGTTACTGGTTCACAAACTAAGAGATATAAGTTTGTACATATTTTGACTAGTTTGTTTACATGTTTATTATATTTTTCGTTTAAATAAAATGAATTTAAATGAAAAATTAAAGAAGCAAGAAAAAAGAATTAAAAACTATTCCAGGGATTGCAAATTGAAGTATTTATAATTTTTTGGGGAGATTTCTGCATCATGGTCTGTGGCAGAATAATCGCCAAGTCTTGGAAACTTCCAGACAGTGGCCTGCGTGAAACTTAAAANTATTTACAATAGTTTTCTCTTAATACAAATCTGATTACTGCATTTGGTAACACTTCCGTGCAAGGTGTCACAAACCTGCTGAGAGGCATTGACTCTTGGTGGTTATGCTTTAAGAGACAGTGGCATATACCCTTTTTATATATAAAAAGGGCAAAGAGGATGCATTTATTGGGATCAAAGGGCAACAGGATGGTAGCCCTTTTAAATTTAACAAAAAGTTAAATTACATTTTATTTAAACTATATCATATATATTTAAAAAATAAAGAATGAATTCTAAGTTACCATGAAATTCATTATAGATTCTACCTGAGACCTGGAGTGCTTCTTCCTGATCTTATATTGAATACTCTAATAGGTTTTTTTAGCAAAACACTAAAGGCCAAAGACATTCTCAGAATTTGACCTCCCTATAAATAAGATAAATGAAAATTAGTAAATATTTGATGTTGACATTTTAAAATTGCAGGAATATTTCCATATTGTGCTTGGTCACACCAACTATACTTGTCAAAATGCAAAGGCATTTTAAACCTGCAAACTTTAAAAGAGAAGAAAAAAACAACAGGTATAGGTTTGCCTAAGCATGGATACTAGTTTATACTCTTGCCCTTTCTGTGATGCCTTCTGTTTTTACCCAGAGGTTGCTGAGACTCTCTGATTATTACGATACGGAGATAATCCTGATTTCACCTACATCCTATACAGATACATAGGTCTAGCATTTCAGGTAGAGCATCCTCATCAGTTGAAAGAGCGAAATTTTATAAGAATGCTTAGTTACTGGTTCACAAACTAAGAGATATAAGTTTGTACATATTTTGACTAGTTTGTTTACATGTCTATTATATTTTTCACTTAAATAAAATGAATTTAAATGAAAAATTAAAGAAGCAAGAAAAAAGAATTAAAAAATATTCCAGGGATAGCAAATTAAAGTATTTATAATTTTTTTGGGGTGATTTCCGTATCGTGGTCTGTGGCAGAATAATCGCAAAGTCTTGGAAACTTCCGGACATCTGAACTAAAAAAAAAAAAAAAAACGTCACAGAAAGAGACCAACTCGAAAGGAATAACTCCTAACCACCCCTTGCAATAACACACGTTTTTTTAAAAAAAATTTTGAAAGGTTAAAATCTATTTCGCACCTTGGTGATTGTAGATCGATATGGAAATATTCCCATTTTTTAAAATTAGTTGCTTATTGTATTAATAAAATTTCTTGATTAACAGTAATTTTAAAACAGCTATTTATCCTGCTATTTTCTTCATCTCATTTTTACAGTATTTTAGAGATATGCCTTAATAAATATTGTTGTTTTAACATTTATTAGTATAGATTTATCATTGAAATGATTTATTTTATGAAAAAATTAAAACTTTTTTTCATTAATATATAATTATTTTAACATACGATGTAAATAAAATTCTAATTAATAATAATAAAATAAAAATTATTTTAAATTTGACTATTTGATAAAATAATAAACTTTCAATATTAAAAAATAAATTTTTCACATAATTATTTACAAACGAATTAACTAAATATTTTTTCGTAAACAGAAGCAAATATCTATTTTATACTCCTTCAAGTGTACTTCCATCAATTTCAAGTATATCTGACATAGTCAATTAAAACTTTAATTGAAGAAATGCGATTAAATTTTTAAATTTTATAAAACGTGAAAAAGCTTTTGTTTTGGTTTCTAAATAGAATCAGTTTCGACTGCTTATTTTTGCTCCACTTGGTAGCTTTCGAAAATTTTGTGCATTCGCAACTTTTGCTTGGTTGGATTTCCGGAACCAATCCGTGGAGAATGATGCCTAATATTTTTTGTGCCAAGCATCGGGGTTGCCCGATTGCTCCTCGACAGCAGCTCAATTCACTCATCGCTGTTTCAAATTTCTGATCCGAGATCCAAACGATGCATTCTTTGATATGATTTTATAAACACTCTAAAAGATCCAGAAAATATCATACAATGTTCACTACTCAAATTTCTATCATAATTCCCCATTAATACAAACGTATTTATAATTTAAAACTGTTAATACAATACAGAATAAAACATCCACGAAAGTGAGATAAGCATGCTTCGATTGTAAACAGAAGATAGAGGTTTAAAACTCAATCTGCCTGGTTTAAAACCAGTGGCGTAGCGAGCTTAACTCGCGCCCGGGGCGCAATACCTTTTTAGCCGCCCCCCCCATTCGAAAACTATATAATATTATATGTAAAATATACTCGCAAATTAATAAATAAATAAAGTCATAGGCTCAAGCTGCGCTTTAAATTTGAGACAAAAAATGTAGTTGAGAAAACAAGACTAGATTTTGAAATGTATATGATCATCTAAAATTAGTTAAAAAGATACCTATTTTTTATTTTACATATTTATAAATAAATATTTTAAAAACACTCAGTTTTAAAACAATAAAAAAGTAAATATTTATTATCTCTAAGGAGATATATATATTTAATAATAATATGATTATAATACATTAATAAAATACTATGTATAAATTTTCCTTGCTTTTGATGCAAATTTATCAATAATATCATCAAAGTTGATCATTTCAAATTTTTCTCTTTCCACACTTAAAAATGCTGGGTCACTTATAAGTGACCCAGCATTTTGGCGATCTTGTCCCATCGTTGATAGTCAAATTTAATTTTAATTTGCTGAATGAACGTTTGCAGCCAGCAATTGATACTGAGATAGTCAGGAGTATAAAGTGCCACTCTCAGGTTTGGAAAAACATCTTCTCCATACGAGAAGTAAGAAATTCTAATGGAGTTTTAGGTTCAATTTCTCTTCTACTGCGTGGTAACATTTTGCAATCACATATTTCGATAAAGAGTTCTACTCCATTGAAATCTGTATTATAAAATTCACCCAAATTTTTACAATTTTTTTCAGGGTCATTATCAACATTATCCTTGTTTAATAAATTTTCAACGTCTAGTAGAAATCCAAATTTGAAATTAAGGTCACTTAATCGTGCACATATTTCTTGTTGGAGATGATCAACAACGCTTTTCATAACGCGAGAAATTTCACTTTCTGCGGAAAGACCAACATCTCTAGCCAATTCTCCGGTCATTTTGCGGCGTCTTCTTACACGTTTTGTTGTATCGATATCACATTTTTCACAAAGAGACTTGGCTTTTTCTATTGCGTCTTCACAGAGCTTATCTCGAATTTCGGCCAGTTCAGTCGCTAATGATTCAAGATCAGGGAACGCTTCTCTAAAATTTATTCTAGGATCTTGTGATCTGAGCTGCGCACGATCAATCCTCCTTAAGATTTCATACCAGAAATGAACTGAAGTTATGAAACTAAAAGTTAGTATTTTGCAACAGAATTGTAGGTTCACTTCTGGTGTCCCTTATAGTGGTAGTATCCTCTGCTAATTTTTCTAATAGTTCTACTTTTTTCTCTACAGGGGTGAAAGCGAGACGGAAAAGAGGAAAGGCTGGTAGTAAAACCATTTCAGTTATAGCTAGTTTTGGGGAGGATTTTACTTATTCTTTTTTTAAATTTTTCAACAATATCTACTTTATCTTGGAAAAGACGCAGTTTTATATATATGCCAGAATTATAAAAGAAATCTTGATAGTTACAGATATTTCATTTTTTTCGAAAAAAATGCTGGAATGAAATGTTTTACGTACCAGGTTTTTCTCTTTTCCGTCTTGCTATATAAGGGCTTTCACCCATGATTCTCTAGCCCATCAACGATAACGCTAATAGCTTGTATTTTGGCGCTCCATCGTGTTTCCGAATCACGTTTGACAGTTTTTGTTAAAGCAATTTTTAATAATTCCCGTGGTAACGTTGAACGTGAGAAAAAGAGACATATGTTTTCAATTATTCCAAAACATGTCGCAACGATTGGATCTTGTTCAGCTGCAGTAACTCCTACTAAATTCAATGAATTTTTATCACAATTTACAAAAATGCTTTGTGATTTTTTTCCCCATTATTCTTTGTTGAACGCCAGCTGCGTGACCTGCCATCACGGCAGCATTATCGTAACGTTCTGAATTGCAGTTTGTTAATGAAATTTCATCGGAATTTAATTTCTCTAAAATTGTATTTTCGTTCGAGGCTGCATCTTTGGCATGTATTTCAATAAAATCCAAAAAAGATTTTTTGATGGAAGCTTTTTTATTGATAAAATCAACATCTACATACCTAACGACTTGGGACATTTGTTCTCGATGAGAGATATCAGGAGTTGAATCAAACAAAAGTCCTTAATATTTACGGTAAATTAAGAATTCTTAATTTTTATTACTATAAATAGTAATTAAAATTGAATATTGTCAATTTCTTTAATTGTTTTATTGAACACTGCTAACAATTTTTTTCATACCCTATTCACTGAGTAATAGAATCGTCGAGTAGATGTAGTAAGTAATCTTATTTGTTTTATTACTTACCAAGAATGCCTTGAACTTGACACAGTGAAATATACGCTATAATTTATGTTAACATTAAACTTATAACATATAATAACATTTTTATTCTAAGCAGAGCGTGATGAC